TTTAATGGCTTTAAACGGGTATTTTATTTGAAGCAAAATGGCAAAATCATGTTAAATGCTTTACATGGTTGGATGTATGTAACTTTTAACCCATATAAAAGCTGCAGTGTCAAAAATTAATACGTGCTTCAGTTTTTATTCAGGCTGCTTCTACAAAAAGTTTATTTTAGTAAATTTTAGACGTCATAAATAAATTTGGAAATTATCCAAACAGTGAAAAGGTGCTATGCAAATATGTCGCCCCAAAGTCTTAAGTTGGAAAGGAAATTTTGTCCTCTGGTTCCTTAGTTACTTTACCATAGTAAATTCGCCACGTTGGACAAATATCGACAATAAGAAATAAAACAAATCATGTATCTAATGGTTTTAGTGCAATTTTAAAAATAAATTACTTTTTTGTCGAGACTATATTTTTAACGTTCCTTTTGTCGTTTTATTTTCTTTTCGTCATGGTAAATCGATCAGATTACGTGTTCTCCATCGATATAATTATTTTATAAATATTTGGCACATTTTAATACCGCACGCACTACTCTTATCGATTCGAGTGTTAATTGTTTGAAGAACCTCTACAAAAGTGACGAATTAAAGATTATAAAGAATCAAGGAGCGCAGTGAGCCATCCGAAGGATTGTGGGTTCCGTGTAAAAATAACACGTGCGTCCTAATGTGTGCGAATATTTGGATAAAAAGATATATATGTTTATGTATAAGAATATTACCACTTAATGGATTACGTACAAGCTAGCTTCCTACATAAATATTAGGGGCATTTAAATCCCCCGCGCAGCTGCTCTATTGATTGCGAGCAGAGTTAATTGCTCGATGTTTGTGTATTTTTTTATGTTTGTGTTTGCAAAAGTTGAACCGCATAGTTTAAAAAAGTAGTTAAGGACGTTGCTACCCTCGCATACTTGTCCAGGGTTGCCAGCAGTGATAATTGCTAGCTGTAATAGGGACGGCTACATCTGTTTACAGTTCTCAGGATCAGACTGGGATTACATAGCGATTACAGTTAGCCCCCTTTTCAAATACACCACATATTTCAATTATACTTGGTTTACACAAGATTTGTCTCTCGAATTTATGTCGCGTATACCGACAAAAGCAATTTTATCATCGCTTTCTCAATACGAATGAATAATCATAACGTTGATAATTTCGTTTCCTATATTTTTGTCGACGTCGACGACTACAACCCCATAGGAACATTAATTATTTTAAAATGAACCAGTCGAACTCAAAATTAATATACTATTCCGGAAATGAATGAAAATATAATGGCAGTCACAAAACAGTTCTAATGAATTTAACTCGGCTTCAATTCTACGAGCTATTGTATGGACGTTCACGATCTATTGTATCAGTTCCCTACGACGCAATATTTCATGTTTTAGTTGTAACTAATCTCGCATCCCTTTGCAGTGCCCTCGAGTTAAATCGACAGAAGCACAAGATCACCTTGTGACATTACGATAAAACTTTCAAGAACTAACACTGTTGGCTATTCAGTTTCGCAGCTGCGCGATGATGATTTGACATCACACAACTAAAGGCACAGTTACGCAGCTAAATATATTTATATATACGTTCACCAACGGATACTTAACAAATAATAAATATCAAAGATTACGTTTACGTGTTATAATCGTATTCCAACCATCGATATTGTAAAAGTAGAAGATCTACATGTCCAATTTATTATTTCCCAACTTATTTGGTAAAAATAAAGCAGTATAAACCGCATTTCTCCATTATGTAGCCATGGGGCACCGCGTGCGCATCAAAAATGGTATATTACTCGAACGAGTAATTTTTCTTACATATTTACTCATTTTAATTAATTGAATTTGTTAATTTTTACTTTACGAACGTAAGCTGAGGAAATATTGTAATAGGGTCCATCCGACGAATGACCACTAGTGTACGCGTTTCCGTCTGTCTATGTTTCTGAAAGTACCGGACAGATTGTTATCAAGTATATCCTTGTTACGAATGTTGTCTAAATGGTAAAACGCTAACCAAAATTTGGCTAATCATCCATCCCCACCAACAATGTGATGACGTCAGTTTGAATATTTCCCCAAACATTTTTTTAGTAAACGCCATTTAAATTTTATAAAATAATCCATGGTGTATGAATCCGCGTTGAGTTCTCACCTTAGATATCCAGATTTTGTCTCATCAAAACCGAAGATGCGACTGAAATTATTAATTAAGCTGCAATGGAGCAAAACATTCTTTATTATGGATGAGTAACTGTTATTATAATTCTTATTTTGTTATTATTATTATTAAATGTAGGCGGACCCAATAATACTGTATTTTCAAATTTTCGAGAAAATAGGCAAATCGTTCTTGATTTGTTCAATTAAAAAATTGTGATCCATGAATCAATCAAACCAGCGACCTTCTCGTTAGTAATTTAATATTTTTACAGGACGACCACGGAGTTCTCGACACGTCACTGTTCTTATCCTGGTATAAAATGTGATGATGCAATTTAAATTTTTTGGCAAATATCTGTATAGAGTAGTATTTGCAAATAATTACCCCACTTATCTGCTTACCTTCGACGGAGTTCCACAAGGCTCAGTGCTAGGATCTACTCTTTTTACTTTCCGATCGTAAGGGCAGGAAGTATTGTAATCGAGTTTTTAATAAATAAAATTCGCGCGTGAATTTTGAAAAATCAGAGCATTTAACTAGCCGATCGATAAACTTTGATTGTTTCTAATTTCATCACCTACCACTCAATCTCAGGGTTGTAACCGAGCGACAATACCAGTATTGAATTTGTGCATAATTTATAAGAAACAACAACAGTTACCAGGTCATGTTTGCTTTTACCGCAAACATGTTGAAGGGCTTATCTGTTTAAAAAGTTGGTCTAAAGTTATTTCGACAGAACTTCCCTCGCCCCGGAAGTACAGATGAACAAATACAGATTCTTTCAATAATTATAAAATAAAAATGTACATTTTTGGTTTGTGTGTGGCGTATGCTTATCTATGTTGACCGTCGATGGACGCGGCGAACCTTGTTGCACTCTCAATAATTTACGTAAGAATTGTTCAACTGCGCAAATGCAGAACAGAGAATGACAGCTGGCTAACCTCAAACCATGGACGAATGTAATATATATTATATTCTTTCCATTATGCCTCAAACTTGCTCAGCTTGTCATCAGCCTGTCATTCTTTGAACTGCATAGAATTGTTGTTTTTGTGAACAACAAACAAAATACAATCTCGTACGAAATTCTAGCGCGCAACTTGACAACTAATACAGCGTGGTGCCAACTGTCCAACAGAATTCTATAGCAACATTCAAAAGTAATAGTTTGTGCATAAAGTTGAAATTATTTCAACTGTGAAGAGGGGTATTTCAAGTTTATGTATTATGCTTTGTGTCTATTGTAAATTAGGGCAAACTGGTGGAGCTCCTCTAGACGTTATGTTATAAAATATGAAAAAATGTTTATTGAAGATTGGACCCTCCTTATTATTTATAAGTTTGCATGTATGTTGTTATATTATGAGTTAAGATGGATTGTTTAATTAGGTACAACGCGAAATTATTCATGTTTGATGATGATAAGATAAAGCTGAAATAGTGGACACAAATCATTAAATTTTAATTGCAGACCTAGGACAGAGAATATTAACTAAACATTTTGTGTGTTGATGAAATTAACAGTATCGACGTGGCATGAAATTTTAATTCAGACAAATTCAATTATTTTTTGTTACGATATTGTCAGACTTGCATATAGTGTATTGAACAACGTTATTTAAAATTATTAATTACAAAATCGATTTTGTGATATCGAGAGAATATGCGAAAATCAGAAATAGCAATATCATTTGAAAAGTGACCTCTTCTAATTTTTCGGATCGACATAATTTTGTATAGTACATGAAAATGTGCCCGTGAGGGCGAATATCGAAAATCATGTAAAAATGCATGTAAATTTTTACGCATCTATTGTTTGATTTGGGATTGACAGTAGATACTAGAACCTTGTTCAAAACCTAATTTGTGTAAATTAACAAGTCGCGATTTTATCAAAAGTTAAATGCAATTTGAAAGTAAGTTTATAATTACAGTACCGATTGCTTTGCGCAAGTTACGTGGAATGTATATCTGGTTGTGTGATTCATACATCCCTAAACCCCTGTTGTGGATGGATGGGGCGATGCAACAATATAACATAGGATTAACCAAACATTGTTAGCCGTACCGTTCAGGGGACACGTTTCGTATGTTCACGTACAGACTTATTGTTTTGTATGAAGTACTGTTTGTAATTTGTGGCTGCAGTGTTGACCTGATAAATTTCGTTGTGAGGGTAATTTTACTTGCCGGGAGTAAAATAGCAACGGGGATTTTAAATAGTTGTCTTGGGAATAAGTCTGGATCGGCGCAGGTGAGGACCACAGCAAATCTTATTACAAGAACAGAGTAGGCCGAACTAGGGAGAATCGATGTAAGTTAAACTTGGCTAAAGATGAGACCAGACAGCTTCAGCGCGGCTATCGTGCGTCCGTTATGTAACAACTCTATTAATCCCGTCCTTCATAAATGAGTTTTCAACATCAGTTCGTTTCTCATTTTATGCCCTTTTTTACTGCAGAGTTTGCACAAGAAAATCGAAATTGCCATGCCCAACGCTAATGATGGATTATCAATTTACGAGAGAAAACCCCAGCTTCGACCACAAAGTCGACAGCAATGTGTCCGCTGCTAATAGAAACTTTTCCAAAAATTATACGTTCTTACTGAATTTAATTTAAATCGAAACGTGAAGTCGGGCCTGTCGGGTGTCGAATATCTTTTTCGCTCTGACAAACCCGGTACGATGTCTTCCTTAATATTGCATGTGCGGTTTAAATCTTGAGCAGCATTCGATGTTTATTTTCAAATTAGACTTTAATAATTATTTTCGATTGATGCAAGTTTTGTTGGCGTCCGTTTTTAATTTGCATTTATTATTTCAGGTGGTGGTGGAATCTCGCTCCTCGGCTTTAGAATATGGCGATTTGACTGTAGAAGAAGGTTCCCCAGTAAATCCAGATCTACATTTCGATTCACAACTAATGCACCTGTACGTCATGACAGAGAAAAAGGTCAGTTTTTTTATGATTATGAGTTTTAAAAACATTGAACTGATGTACCTACAATACGTTGGTCGTTATTGATTTAATCACTTCAACGATTCAATAAATATTTGACCTCCGATGACAGTTTGGAAATCGCCCCAATAGATTTCATTGTTTCCACCCTCTTTTTAGACTCTTGTATGCACTTCATATAGCGACACCTTTTGTCAAAAAGCGTTTTGGCTATTTACTTCATTTACGCGTTGAATGTTCGCAGAATTTGTTTTATTTTCACCGTATATTTTGAAAATGTGTTACACATACAGCTGTAAATATATAACAAAATCGATCGTTCGAAATGCCTTGCAACACTTAACTCCAACAACAGTTAAATACGGTTGTTCTAAATCCCTATTCCGTAATTTTATTTAGAGGCAACCCGGCTAACTCCCTGCCTGGATTACTTTACTTACATTTCCCAAAGACTTTTATTAGAAGATATTAATCGCAATAGTGAAGTAGCAAAACAGAAAAGGGACGACTTTTTGATATTGATTTGATTTCCGCTCGACGACAGCTATCAATTTATCTTAATTGACAGTGTACGCCATCGGAAGACTCGACCATTTTTTCGTTCCCCGAACATAATGCAATAATAATGATAACGTAATAATTACTTTAATTTATATGGTCCACAAATAGCAACGCATATTATATTATGAAAAAAAAAAACATTACAAGTTCCTGCCATAACAATGGTAACAGTAGCAGTAGCAGTAGCAGCAGTAGTAGTAGCAATAATAATGGTAGTAGTGGTAGCAGTAGCAATAATACTATTACTAAAATACAACGGGTATATTGTCTCAGAACGATCGGCGAAAAAGCAGAAAATGTTTCTTTGTTGTTTTTAAAAGTGCCAATCAGAATTGAATTCGGCCGCACCACGACCACTCAATAAACTTGACTCATTCGAAAAGGAAAATATGATCAATGAAAAGTTTGCTCCTCTCTTTTGAAATAACGCATGCGTACTGTCTAAGGCGTTGGGTATATCGTCTTGTGCGTGCCTTGCCTTAGCATGAACACGAGGGTTCTGTGCGTGTTCTTAGACCTTTCTAACTTACGGAATAGGTGTTTTGCCGCAGCTGGGGAAAGTACGCGACGTGACGTCTATTTTTGCCAGCATTAAAATTTTATTTTTTCTTTAATCGCATCTACACAAGCACGACAATTCGCTAGTAAAAATTTCCCTCTTTCTTTAACAAGGAACAACAAAAAGTAATTTCCTTAAGATTCTTCCGATATAATGTAAACATGGACGAAATAAATGTCCCTTCCAGAAATGTTAAAATTCTTTTAATCCCCCTTTTGGGTTTAATAGTGATAAAATTTGCAAAACATTATCCTGCATAAATTATTAAGTTTGTAAGTAGCGCGATACCTACAACGAAACCCTTCGAGTTTCGGGTGATTTATAATTCCTTATTGATAACTTCCGAAAATGAGGGTGCTCCACATAACCGTTGCACAGTTGACGATTTGTCAATCTAAGTATTTATTTATTAACAAATATTAAATTATGCAAAATTATACTAACGATGGTTTTATTCATAATATTTATGTAAACATCTTTGCCATTCATGCAATCGTCTTCTCCGTACTAAAACGTGAATTAACTATGTGAAGAATATGTTCCTTCGCCTGTACTTCAGGGGCGAAGGATGTTCGATCTAAATAATTTTATACCAGTTTTTTGTAGTTAAAACTAATACAACACAACTCCCTCATAAAATATATGCGTTAAAATTAAAAAAAAAAACAAGGCGTTTGTTGCGACGCCAATACTATATATGCGACATTTTTGCAATGTACTAACTTGGACGTCCTACTACAAGTTAAAAACAATGGCGTTTACAGTTTCAATATCTATCTGCGACATGGGATATAAAAATTTTGCGTCATTATAGTAATGTTTCAACTTTTTATATAAAGTACGCCAGTAATTATAGTCGATTTTCAATTTATGTGCATGTCTTTTTTTAAATTGTGAGTATTCTTTCAAACTAGCGTGAAATTCCTGCAATTCATAACAAAAAAAAAAAAATGTGACGTGTATTTGTATATATGTAGGTACCGGGAGTTCAATTGAAGACGTCGTTAGTTTTTGAAGGAAATCATGAATAAAATCATGTTTACAACAGGCTGTACTCTCAGTAAGATGTAGAAGTCAAACTTTAGAATCCATTGTCAGCTAGATGACAAAGAACTGCGATTGAATTTTTTCAAAAGGATTCTTTCTACAGTGGAAATAGTAATTTTTTTAAAACAGTTTTTTGACAATCGCATAATTATTTAAAGTAATGATATTATTGTTTGACCCCGTCGCTGCTGTGGTTTGACACTGTTTGATTTGTTCTTGTGGCTTCATCTTAAAAACAGTATCTTTCAAACGGCTGCTATAAATGTGCATCACATGCAGCAGAGTCTAACAAAAGTGCGTAAAATCTTTTAGTTTAAAAAGTATTGAACAGCATTAATTTTATTATGCGAAAAAGTGTTGTTCGTTATTCTTTTTAGATTTTAGACTTATTGCAGACATACTTCATGACGTTTACAAAAAATCAACACCAACTTGATGGATTTTTTCAATTGAACACCCGTTGTGTATTCTTTAACGTTGGTATTTGTTTTAGGTGTCGAAAGTAAAAGTGCAAGAATGCAGCGTGTACAGAAGTTGCTTGGAATGCCTCGGTGCAAAAGATCCATACTGTGGGTGGTGCTCTCTAGAAAACAAGTAAGTTCGGTTTTTCGCTATTTCAACAAAAGAATGTAAAAAAGAAAACATGTAAACCTATTGTAATCAAGCAGAAAACATTTTAATTACAATTGCAATTTATCTTCGACGCTGGTGGGGATACAACAATAATCCATTCTCTTGCTAGTTGAAATATAAACCCACACAGACCTTGACATTCTATCGTAAGGCCACAGGTAAACGGCATTCTTCTTCACAACAAACCAATTTTATTTTAAATTAAATGTTGTAATTGTTATTTGCTACAAGTTACAACACAACGGACACGATTTTTGTCAAAGGCCTTAATTTGTGGTTGCAACTGGAGGTTGCAAAGAGGAAACTAAAACAAGGAAATTATGTTAAACCGTTTTATGTGTGTACGGGTGTTATTTAAAAATTTAACTTTACTTTGAGGATTGCGTTATTTATGGATACATCACAGTACGTTATGAATGTCCGATCCAAGAGTCATTTGGTAATTGTTATAAATTATGGCGCGAAATCGCATTAGAAAGATTTAATATATCTCGAAGCGAACCGAGATTTAATTTAGGGCGTGTAGAAAACTTTCCAAGGGTAATTGAAAATTTTAATATTAACAGTGAAATGAACTTTATCCTAACTTTTTGGTTTATGGTTTCCAGCTAAACAGTTTTAGATATTAGTAGTGGTATATGAAAAACTAAAGTTCTATAACCTGGAAAAAATTTATCACAGTACTGCCCGATCAGTGATTGTTTTTCGAACTGCTTGTAATTCTGTTATTCATAATACATCAGTGTTCATGGCGTTTGCAAGTTGATATATTATAAAGGGGGAATGAAATGTAGAGAAGTAAATCGTGGCAGGGACGATGTAAAAAGTTCATGAATTATTTTGTGACGGCCTGGCTTTAATAATTAGAGGATAGACAATCACTGTTCTAATTGTTCATCAAAACCAAGCATTTCACTTCCGTTCGTATCCAGGTGCACTAATGGTAAAATCAATATTCCGTCAACGATCCCCAATTTGTCAACCATTACATTACAACTGCCATAAATATTAAATTATACATTAAGCCCCAATAGCTATCTATGTGCTTATCTATAAGCCAACGTCTGACAAAATACTAAAGTCCTTTTATGCTTTTATAATTTCAATCCTATCCCGAGTGCTCATAAAAATTGATATTATATAGCATACATGTAAGGTTTTACAAGTACTAAATTGGTTTTCCCTTCGCCCGTTTCCTTTTCTTATTACAAAAAAAAAAAAAATGTAAAAGATACAGTCGTAAAAGGCCCTTTTACATACACAAGTAGATAGATGTATATATTTTTTACCGTTGATGTGTTTTAATGGCCATTCGACTAGTAAAATAGTCACCGTGACAGCTGAAACTGCATTAAAAATTAAAACGACTGCAACAAGTAATAACGTGCGATCTACAAAAATGGTTCTTCAGTTGGCTTTGGTTTTTTAGCTATCTGCCCCATTCCCCACGAATAGCAGCCCATAGTGCTGGTCCAGCACGGTCAAAGGACGTCTTTCGTTGATCTTACCTTACCTAATTCCGACACTTATTGACAGAAAAAACAGTGCCTTGCCACAAATCTTTCAGAATTTACATGATGTTTATTTCATTGCCTCTCAGTCTCTGATGTAGGTGAGTTTAAATTCGGCTCGAGTTTGACGCTTCAAATCCCTATTAATTGGCCATTGAAGAGTTGTAGGTCGGCGGGTAACACTGTTTTTCTGTTGATACAACATGTTCCTTGATTTCAACAATTGAAAAATGTCGTTGTGACATTTAAGGTATGGATAACACGTCTAATATTAAAAAAATGGTCGAAAGTTTTTTCTTTACTACATGATTTTGTGATGACGTCAGCAACATTTTTGCAAGGACACGTGTATCAACTTGGATTGGTGCAGTGTAATGCAAAAATAACACCACTGTTTTCTCAAAATTTTCTGGGAAAATGGAGTGAGCCGTTCCTGATTTAATCAATAAAATAAATTGACTCATTCATTAATTTTTTTGAGCCACCTGTTAAAGTGAATTTAAAAAATATGACTAATGATTAATCACTAGTAAAAACTCATAAGATTTTCAACATTTTGGGTGGAATTTATTCGGCAAAATTTTGGTTTTGTCAGGAACTTTTTATCAAGTTAAAAATTGTTAAAGTTTTATCATCATTGATCAATAAAATAAATTGACTCAGGCATTAATTTTTTTTTTTTGAGATCGCCTTTATAAGCAAATCTAAAAAATATTTTGAAACGACGTCGTCAATTTTTTAAGGCGAATGAGCAAATACATTTTGATGAAAAATTTACTATGCTTATGATAACATTAAAACATCTCCAAGATTTGAAAGAATTCGATTTTGCAGTTTCTGGTTAAATAAATAAAATAAATTCACACATTCATTAATTTTTTGAGTCACCCTGTATAAGTAAATCCAAATCACAAGAATAGACTTACCACATTTTGACATTTTAGATAGGATTTATTCGGCAAAATTTGGGGCTGACATCGCCATTTTTTTGGAGGGGATAAGCAAATATATTTTGAATAAAGTGTATTATGCTTATCATAACTTTAAAACATCTGAAAACCATTCGGTTTTGCAGACTCAAAATTAAATTGCGAAATGTTTCTTTTTTTTTCCCAAAAATCTGCGGGTAAAAACTCAACACGGAGTCATAAACTACATGTTTAGGACTATCTTACTTTATACTATTTAAAACCCATTTACTATGTACAATTTTGGAATGACATCATCACATTATTGGTGGGGATGATTAGATACATTTTGCTTAGCGTTTTACCGTCTACATGATATTCCTAATATAAATACAAAATTTGACTTTCGGAAATTATCTGTCTAATAAAAATCCGGGACGGCAGGCAGACAGAAACGGAGGACCTATTTCTTCGTACTGTAGGGGTCTTGAAAATGTAAAAGTAAAGAACCAGTCGACGGGAAGTAAAAAGGAAAACTCAGTAAATAAGACAAACCCAAAGCAGTGATTTGTTTGAAATCCTCCATAATAAATGGTTTCAGAAACATATAATCCTATGCAAACTAGCCCTCTATAAATTATCCTAGTAATTCCGTGATTGCCATCTACATTTCCGATACCAAAGATGCACCGGAATTAATCTTTCGTTAAAACTAATAAGATAACCAACATTTCGACACATCATCAACTAATTATTTTTTGGTCAGTTTTTAAACAAATTTGGTTCTCCATGGTGTGTTATGTCCATTTCCATTGCGTAATTCATAAAAATATTAGCTCCTTATTTGTGTATTGTGGGTGTTTAGATTTGAAACAATGAACCGTTGGAAAATCGCCCACTAAATAGACTAGCCAGCGTTGACCAATAAATTCGTGAAATTGGTACATGTTAATTCCTTTGCAAACCCAAATGTACGGATAATTCTCCTAGAAACATTTGTGAATGTGAGATACGAATTCACAACCAGTCCATTTCGCGTCTAAAATTCCTAAATTTAAATAATTAAACGCCTATTTTATTCGAAACAAACAAAAAATGTGTGTTTTAACGCAACAATTGCGGCGACTGAATTTAACCACACAGGCAACGAAAAGAGTCGATTTACCTGTAACAAGCGCCGAATCCTACAAAATCTGTAAATAGATATTTTACCAGATATTGCTTTTAAAAACTATATCAGTATCTATTAAAAACAAATAATGCGAAATGTCACTAAAGAGCGTGAGTACTATGGCGCGAAGACACACACTTGGAGGCCATTTAAGCAACTAGATTTTAAATCGACTTCCGTCCATGTTTGATGGAGATGAACAAATTCTAGTAAACATTTTACAATTTATACGTTATTTTTAAAATAAGTCTAAAATTTCACAATACTCTGTCCATTGGTTTTGACGATTACTGTTCTAATAAAATCGCCAACAGACGATATACAGACGGATGGGAGACCTACTTTTACTTCCTGCTTGCCCATCTGTCTGTCCGAATGTCTGTTTGTCTGTCCGTACGTCCGTCCTTCTACCTATCTGCCCTTTATTAGACAGATAATCTCCAAAACTACTAGACCGATTGTTGTCAAATTTTATGAATATCATATGGATGGTAAAACGCTAAACAAATATTGTCCAATCATCACCAGCAACAATGTGATTACGTTACCTCAGAATTGTATATAGTAAATGTTATTTAAATTTTATAAAATAACATAGTCTTACACATGTAGTTTCATAATCCGTCTTCATTTTTTACCCCAGGCAGCCAGATGTTTATAAGAAAAAGTGGCAATTCGTCCGATGGGCTCAATTACTATACTTCCTTAGCTTACGCTCGAGAAGTAAAAATCAAAATTTTATAACAACATTTTAGAATTTAACTTTGAGACTTCAAAACCGGATTCTCTGAAATCTTTCAAACGTTTTAAGGTTATCAGAAGCATATAAAGTCGTTAATCAAAATGTATCAGTTTATGTAGAACTTTTAAAATGACTTTTATTACTGAAATGTAGTCTAAAAATGCACTTTCAGCTAATAATTGCATCACCGATATTGTAAACGTCTTTAAACTATGTGATTCAGAAAACTAAAAACACATGTGACTTTAAATTCCAGCATTTTTAAGCTTACTGGTCGTACGTACCAATGAAAGTATATTCAATCTGCGATTAACTGCTTATTGGAGACCCTTGTGAGGGATCTGCTTGTTTATTTTAATGTAATTGAGGAGTAAGCTTTATTTTTAAAATTTAATCGAAAACTCCTAATTTAAATTATTATAAAAGAGAATCTTTTCAGGTAAAATAAATTCTTGATTGTGATAAATAAAATGTGTCGAGAGTAAATTGCATAAACGATGTTTTATTTTTAAGCGGATAAAAACCCAATGATAGCATGACTAATATAAGTATGAGTCACTTTTTTATGAAACTGATAGTACCGACACATTTTATTTATCTGAGCGACTGTTGGTTATTAATCTCATTTTAATTTTAAATCTCTTTGTTCTTTTATCAGTTGGAAGCGTTTGACGAATGGTAAAAATAAATGCGAATTAAAAAAAAAAGAGAGAAACCGTAGGACGTGTTTATCTTGTAACAATAAAAATATAATTAATATGTATTAAACACATACGTTAAACATATACGTAAGTTTGATGTTATCGAAAATGTGGGATCGTCACACAATTCGGACACCTTTTCTGACATTGGAGCATTAAAATGACGCGAAGGTATAAACGTACATACTATCCTTGTCGGAAGTAATTTAAATTTTCGGAAATTACGTTTCTAATGCAACGCATCAGCGCAAATGAGTTACCTCCATTCATAACAGATGGAACAATAAATAAAGCTACCCCATCAGGTTCTACACGCAGGCGCGAGTGCTCATAGATGACTATTACTAATTAGAAGTAGTAGCATATTTTTAGGGGGAAATAGTGAATTACCTACTATATACATACAGAACAATGTAATAAGCATGCCTAAAATTCTTTAATAAGTTTAGAATTCTAATGAACGTAATTAAGTTTAGATATTGCCTGAAAATTCTTTGAAAAGTGAGGGGATGGAATTTGTTTCCGCAATGAATTTAAGGAAATTTATTAGGTGGTAGAGTGCTCCTAACAAATATTTTATAACATGTACATACAATTTATTCCCCCGAATGTGTCGGCGCGGAAATTTTTCTCTTTAGGATATTTATCATTCAAGGATTCATAATTGTCCATCCGAAGTTTTAATATCAATTCTTCAATAATAATTCTATGCTTTCGGCAATTAAAACTTGTAATTACATATTTCGGGGCTTTTATTATCAATTTATTCGAGTATAAAATTTTCTTCTAGAATTAATTGTGTCTTTTTAAGAGCTTCTCTCTGCATTTAGAAAACTTGATAACATTAAATTTACAAGTTTTGGAAATAAAATTAAAAAAGAAGGTTTCATAATTGCCGCACGTATCGCATTGATTTAGTTTTTATTTCATTCAATTACCGTAATTCAAACTCTCAAATTTAATTTCATTTGTCTTCAGAAATTTTCAAATCGCGAAATATCTGCGTGATCACACTTCTTCAATTTTCTTAATTGTCATTTGTTTTGTCCAAAAAGTAATTTCAATTCCTTCCTGGGAGATTCAGGTGTTATTGTTGGTTATGTTGATAGTTTACAATTTACCCACGTTCTTTCACTTCTACCCCCTAGTTAATTATGTGGATTCCTTCATTCCACCGCCTTCTGACATGCAATATCTGGCAGCTTTTCCCTCGGCCCATGCAAATCTATAAGTTGCTCCTTGCCTTCAAATCTGCTTTTCACCTTCACTTAATTTCAGACATTAAAATTCATTCGCATTATATCCAAAAAATTAAAGCTGTCTACAAACCTGCCATTTCGCTAAAGCGTACACGGATTAAGTGTTTTTAAATGGACCCTAGACCGGACTTAAATACGGACCGAAACACAATTTACAATATCCTGCGTATTTTGATCCCAAAACTGCAAACTATGTAGTTAAACTTTCGTCCGAACAATAACTATCAGAATTTAATGTTTTTATTATAGTGCTGTTTTATTTTTGACAAAAAAAGAACATCAGACATCTTGTCTAAACTGACTCTTCGCCGCAGTTCGAAGCGATGAATAAAGGGAATGCAATCTTTATAAACAACTTTGTGCGTCGACAACCCTGCTCTCTACTAAATACGCTCGGCGGTCTAACGGTTCGGTTAAATTTCCAACTATTTTCGCGATTTCCTCATTGCTCATTATTACAGGACACGATCTTCGGCTAACGGTATCTTTTGGAATATTACCGAACCCTCAGTAACGTTCCCACAATTGCAACTTTTACGACACTGCCGCTTCCACATAACTCGTTTAATTAGCTCCTTTCCTCTAATCATTTCGACTTTTGTCATGCATTTCTTTTTATCGCCTGCTAACACGAGTCATACTACTTTAATTTAATATTTTCACTTCAAAATCTCAAGAGACAGGTTGCAGTCTCTGGTTCATAATTGGTTTTGTTTCTCCTCCCAAACAGCTCGGTTTCGGTTTCAAGTCGATATCTTAGATGGTTTATTAGTTTTGCAGCTCAATTGCAATTTCTCCACTTTTATTGAATCGCGTAAAAGGCACATGTATAACTCACTCGATCCTGCGTTGACTTACCTAGGACTTATGATAATAATAATCGGACGGTTAATTACTATTTTGTATTTTGCCCCTAAGTATTTGAAAACTCACACGAAAAACTTGGGCACATTTTTTTTTCCAAAACTCCAAGAGATAATACCATCAGAGAGAATAGGCTACTGGCATTTATCATAGCAGTCAATAATATGGATTCGTTTTAACGACTTCGAATATTCGATCGCAACTAATTGGTTGATAACCAAGTTTTAATAAACATAATTATGAAGTTTGAAAGTAAATTGAATTCTGTACGTTGTTTTTAGGTGCAGTCTTCGTTCGGACTGTCAAGATGCTGCCAAAGATCCTTTATATTGGATTAGTTATAAAAGCGGAAGGTGCACAACAATAACTTCGGTTATTCCAAATCAGCTCCAAAGAACGACCGCTCGAACGGTATAAAAGCGTTCACACTTAATTTGACATCAATATAATGGTCTTTCATTTTTCAGTTGGACCTCATAATTGACAATCTGCCGAGTTTAACCGGACATTTTTTATGTGCATTCACTGTTCTTGATAAACCATTAATAACTAACGCAACTAGAAAAGGATCTGGCGTTAATTGTACCACACCAAGAACGGATTTGCTGCCATCCATTCCACCAGGCCAGCGTAAGTCGATTCAAGCGTTGTCAGCCGATACTGACGAAACACGTTTTAGACCACTTTACTGCTAAATTGTCAGTTCGAATGACGTCCGGACCGGATTTTGTAGCAACGAATTTTACGTTTTTCGATTGCAACACCTACAGCTCGTGTACGCAATGCGTTTCGTCGTCTTTTCCATGCGATTGGTGCGTTGATGGTCATAGGTGTACGCACGATACGGCAGAAAATTGTCGAAACGACATTCTAGTTACGGGCGTTAGCGTAAGTTATTGAATACCTAGTTGTGATTTTGTTCTATGTTCTATAAATTAATTGTTAGAGAGCCGGTCCAAGTTATCGGTCAGGTCCTGCATTTTGTCCTACGATTAATGCAACTGTTGGAAATTCACCGGAAATACTAGTCGCATCAGGAATTAAGAAAGCAATCAAAGTTAAAGTGCATATTATAGGTCAATTTATAGTTCAAACGCGGTTTGTTTGCCAATTTAATATCGAAGGAAGAGTAACTAGCGTAAATGCACAACTGCTCGGTGACACGATCTACTGCGATCAAATGGAATTCTCGTACACGTCCAGAGCACCAAACATAACGGCCACTTTTGCCGTTATTTGGGGAGGTTCGAAACCCCTAGATAATCCAGACAACATTCACAGTGAGTAAATCCGAATACTATTCGAACGCTCATGCAATTTGCTAACATTTCAGTTGTAATTTACCGATGCCGCGATATGGCCGATAATTGTGGGATGTGTCTAGCACTAGCAAAAAAGTACGATTGTGGCTGGTGTCAAAGTTCTGATCGTTGCGAAGTCAAAGATCAATGCGAACGCGGCTCGGCGGTGTGGCTTAACAGAAGTCAAACATGTCCAAATCCTGAGGTTACATCTTTCAGTCCGGAATTGGGGCCTTGGGAAGGCGGGACCAACATCACCATACGAGGTATCAATTTAGGAAAAACCTTCCAGGATATTTACACCGGTGTCATGATTGCCGGCATCAACTGTCAACCGTACGAACACCTGTATATAAAAACAAAACAAATCGTTTGCAAGGTAAGAATAGATAAAAACATTTCGTCTACACAAAAATTCTCGATATATTGAAAAAAAAAAAAACTACAGGTCGACGGTCCTGGTACAAACGAAGCGCGGCACGGACCCGTCTTGGTTCGCGTTGAGGACTACAGAGGCGAATCAAAAACGCATTTTAATTTCGTCGATCCGGTAATTACCGGAATATCGCCAAAATATGGCCCTAAATCAGGCGGCACGATGCTACAAATTACCGGAAAATATATGAACGCCGGTAGTAACATACAGGCTTTCATCGGGGATTTACCTTGTCGAATACTTTCGTAAGTACGAATTTTACAATTGAGTTAAAGATGTACGTTCGGTTTTGTTTTTGTTTTTCCAGAACCGATCAAAATCAAGCTCTATGCATCACGAGTGCGTCGGATAAAATCGGAACCAAAAAACTGCGAATGAAATTTGACAAGGGAGACAGGTACTTCGAAAAAGAACTATTCGAATATGTAGAAGATCCTATAATCGAATCGGCCGAATCTGGTGTTGCTAGTCAGATTAAAGTTCCTAAAGGTATTCCGGCCGGAGGCATACGAATATCCGTAACAGGCAAGAATTTGGCATACATACAAAAGCCTCAAATGTATGTTTATTACGAACAAAAAATGTTCATAAGCGTAAGTGCGATCCGCATATGTTCTCTTTAAACTTCCTTCATGCATGCTTTATAGGAATGCAGCGTACAAAGTAACACCAGCATGACGTGTAGCAGCCCAGTAATCGAAGCCGATGATTCGAAATTAGACGCCGATAATCCTTTAAAGTTGGAATACGGTTTCCGTATGGACAACGTATCGGGAGTGCAAAATCTGACACTCAATAATAATTTTTCTCCCTTTCTTCTATTCCCGAATCCAGTTTTCATACCGTTCGATAAAGAAGTGAAGTACTACAAATCCGAGTATCTCAACATCAACGTAAGAGTACCACATACCTACTAAACATCAGTGTATAATTTTGTTTTTTTCCTATTTCTAGGGTCAAAACATAGATCGCGCTTGCCAAGAATCAGATGTTAAAGTGAGGATAGGAAATAGCTTTTGTAATGTCACTTCATTATCAAGACAACAGTTAACATGCCGGCCGCCAGAAACGCAACCCCCAGCCGTGAACAGTGAAGGACAGGTAAACGGAGAAGCATTACCCGAAGTTACAGTTATCGTGGGCGGATCCCTCAAGTTTAACATCGGACATTTGTCATATTCGCCTGCTCAAGGCCTAAACGGTCCTATTTCCAAACCCACGATGATCGCAGCAATAGGAATCGTGGTCGTCATCATTTTAATATTCAGCGGGTTTTTGATCGCCTATAGACGCAAATCGACCGAAAGTAACCGCGTACTTAAAAATATGCAAGAACAAATGGATATACTCGAACTGAGAGTCGCCGCCGAATGTAAAGAGGCATTCGCGGAGTTGCAAACTGAAATGACGGATCTAACCGGGGATCTAACCTCTGGTGGTATTCCGTTCTTGGATTATAGAACTTATGCTATGAAAATTTTATTCCCGAATGTCGACGATCACGCCGTCTTGCAATGGGAAAGACCGGAACTTATTAGAAAAGAGAAGGGGTTGAGGTGTTTCGGACAACTGATCATGAATAAAACGTTCCTGTTGCTGTTCATTAGAACTTTAGAAAGCAACAGATATTTTTCTATGAGGGATAAAGTTAATGTCGCTTCGTTAATCATGGTTACTCTTCAGAGTAAGATGGAGTATTGTACCGACATATTAAAAACGCTTCTAGCCGAACTTATTGAAAAGTGTATGGAAGGGAAAAGTCATCCGAAATTACTTCTAAGACGTACGGAAAGTGTTGCTGAGAAAATGCTTAGTGCTTGGTTTACATTCTTATTGTACAAATTTCTGCGCGAATGTGCCGGGGAACCACTTTTTATGTTGTTCAGAGCAGTAAAACAACAAGTTGACAAAGGGCCCGTTGACGCCATTACGTCAGAAGCTCGGTACTCTCTCAGCGAAGAAAAACTTATCAGACAATCAATAGATTTTAAGCCTATGGTAAGTTTTGATGATATGTATGATATACCTGAGTACATTTGTTGTTTTCATTTTAGACAGTATATGTTTCTATTTCGCAACAAGCTGTTTTTGTCGGTGGACTCGACCTAAACACAGAAAATGTCCCTGTGAAAGTGTTGGACTGTGATACGATAAGTCAAGTGAAAGAGAAATCTTTAGATACGATTTATAGGGCGACCCCATACTCGCAAAGGCCAAGAAAAGATGATTTAGATTTAGGTTTGTACTATTGACTCATTTCGTACCTTCTTATTTATTTTAATTTTCAGAATGGCGTACGGGAACGTCCGGTCGTTTAATTTTGTATGACGAAGATAGTACTAATAAGATAGAGGGTGATTGGAAACGTAGAAATACCCTCAACCATTATAGAGTCCCAGATGGAGGATGTCTAAATTTAGTGTCAAAGCAAAGTTCCATTTATAATTTAAGCATTTTCTCTGAAAAGAATGAAAAGTCGCATAAGTATGAGACTTTAAATCTTAGTAAGTTCAGTTCGGCTAGTCCGCCATTAAGTCGCGCAACGAGTCCGCTAAACCATGATCAAGATCAAGGGTTAAAAGTTTGGCACCTCGTTAAACATCACGACAACGATAATCAGAAAGAAGGGGAAAGGGGGAACAAAATGGTTTCAGAAATCTATCTGACGCGACTTTTAGCTACGAAAGGTACTCTACAAAAGTTCGTGGACGATTTGTTCGAAACCATATTCAGCACTGCCCATCGAGGATCTGCGTTACCACTTGCCATCAAATACATGTTTGACTTCTTAGATGATCAAGCATTACAACATGGCATCTCTGATCCTGAAGTCGTACACACTTGGAAAAGTAATTCCTTACCGCTTAGGTTTTGGGTCAATATTATAAAAAATCCTAATTTCGTGTTCGACATACACAAGTCAAATATTGTGGATTCGTGTTTATCTGTAGTTGCTCAAACATTCATGGACTCCTGCTCCACATCCGATCATAGGTTAGGTAAGTGTATTAAGTAGGTATTCGTAAACCGAAGAGTAGTTTTTTTTGTTGTTTTTTTTCCTCGAATATAACACGTTTGTGATGCAGGTAAAGATTCCCCAAGTTCCAAATTACTTTATGCCAAGGACATTCCATGTTACAAGGAGTGGGTAGAGAGGTACTATTCTGATATAAAGATGATGTCTGCGATTTCAGACCAAGATATGAACGCGATGTTAGCAGAAGAATCGAGGGTAAGTTGAGACGATTCGTGAACGAGGAGTATTTGGGTGATCGCTGGTTGTTTTTAGCTTCATACGACCGAATTCAACACGAATTGTGCGTTACATGAGCTTTATACGTACGCGATGAAATACAACGAGCAGTTGACTGTGACTCTCGAGGAAGACGAGTTTTCTCAGAAGCAGCGGCTACATTACAAATTAGAACAAGTTCATAATATAATGTCAGAGCAGGGGCAACCGTGATACTGGCCTGATCTGATGCGTCCGTCGGCGCCTCCCATCTCTCCTGTGGTCCCCCTGCAGCCATCAGCACCTCAGGAATTGGCTTGCTGATAAAGCATTTGCACGCCGTTTATACATATCCATCAAACTTTCTCTGTGTGTTGTTGGATTGCTGTCATGCAGTTAATAGTCGTTCAGTGTCGGGGTCGGTGCGCACTCAGTGACTTCAAGTGCCTCTGGTAGGATTGAGTGATGTACTGTCTCCATAAATAAGTGTATATTTTTATGATAACGTTATTCTGTTTATGCTTTGCTGTGCTGAAACTCAGCCGTAGTCCATATATCGATATTTGCGTGAATATCAAGTCTAATGCTTTTTTGATAACTGTATGATGAATGTACCTTATTATCTTTGTACAGTTTAATATTTTTATATTTAGTTGAATGCAATCAAGACGATTGTCTTCCGCATTGAAGGAAGCAGCAGGGTGTAGTGTTTATTTGCGACTTTTCAATCATCGATGTCTCAACCTATACATACTGTGCACGGGTTGTGTCAGTGTGATTTGTGTACGTGTAATAAGGCTGTGTACGTTTACGTTAAATCAGACAGCTGCGCCCACTTGCCCAAGCCTATGGGACAGTGACAGTGTTGCTGTGACAATTCGTTCACCTTCGTTCCTTCGTTCTCACATCATTTGTTATTGTAAAGTACATTCAAATGGAAATGTTTCAGGCTGTAAAATTATCATTTAGATCATCCGTCTATAATTAAGTTTGAGGATCCAAATCTCAGATGTTTATAATTTTTTCCAATCTCGTTTTATTCATTATCTCATACGAATTGTAACCGTCCTTTGAATATTATTGGAAAAAAAAAGTGAATCCTCAAATTACATTATGGACAACTGCGCATATCACGTCCAGTGGAGCAGTGCGATTTTTATTATTTTATCTATTTTATATTATTTTTACCTTTTTAAATTTTAACATAAGTTTTATAATTGCATTTTTTACCAAAACAATGCTTCTGGACAATTTGCGTAGAAGAATTTGTATATAATAAGTGTGTGTGCACGATGTATTCATAGTACTGTGTGTATACTCGATTGCATTTGCAATAATATGAATGGTTATGTAATACTATATGTCATTATAAAAGACTGAATGGAGTTATTTCAAATACTTAAATAGTAAAACATCCCTGAATGTTTCTTCTTTATTACCTCTCCTTGACAATATACTATTATACTTGCTCATGTTATTTCTATATCACCTTGTTGCACTATATCACCTATGTTGTAAGGCTTTGGCCCTATCAAACTGAGAATCACAGGAAGTAGAACTACACCATGGAACAAACCAAATAATATCACCAACAGAAATATCTACAACAAAAACAATATCAAAATAAACAACAACAATAATAAGTCTAACGGACCTTAAAAAACGACTGAAAAATGTAAGCTTCGGACTGACTTAACATAAACACGCCGATGAGAGTCGAAAATCCGCCGTAAACGACAGCCGAACCAATACTACCAACAGTTTTTAAAGATCTATGTTTTCTAGAGCCTTCTTTGATGGTCAAAAATGTATGACCCACATGAGTGGCATAATCGACACATAAACCAATCGCTAATTCTAAACCGATACACGATACTAAGTCGATCGTAAGTCCCCAACGTTGCATAAAGCCGCACACATTGACCATTGTTAACAACACACAGATAAATATCCAAAAACATATTTGTATATCAGCTATTAGCAAAGCTGTACACGCCATCACGCACAATAAGGCCAGTTGGAGATTTCTCATAACTTCAACTTCGATAAGCTAAAAAAATGTGATAGTTTTAAGGTAAATGTAACAAGATAACGCACTTCGTCTGTGATCCACGGAGCGAAAACTTTAGACCAAGCCGTTGCAAATTGGTCTCCAGTTGTGAAGTTCGTGGCCTTGGCGATATCTTGCAGTCGATGCATGGCAGGAAGATACTCTTCAGGACCTTCAAATTGGTTTAAGTGAAAATCTATACTCGACATGACGATTTTAGGTGCTGGGACTCCACATTCCAGAGGTTGTAAAAAACGAAAATTTGCCTGGTATATTGCGTTTCGAGAGCTGAACAGGAACATTGACAGATACAAATTAAAATATTCCTCGCTTAGAACTTCATAATATATATCTACAGGGAAAAAAAAACAACTATCATGACAGACGCGTATTATGTAGACATGTATTACCCATTCCAAAATTAATTTTTACGAATTGTCTGAAGGGTTCTACCCACGAGACGATTCCTAAAGCAATTTGATCTTCATTAAACAAATTATCCACCATATTTTTTATATTCCCCAATTCGGAACTATAATTTACAGCCCCCATGTAAATACCAGCTTCGAAGCCGCTAGTTGGAAAATATGTTTTGCGTGCTTGTATATATTCTAACAAATAGGAAGACTGCGGCAAAAACCATGTAGGATCAAATCTCTGTTCTAATTTTCTAGCACTTTCAATACTGAATCCTAGGCATACCACAGCGACGACAATGACAAGAATCTACAAGCAGGAGATCAGAAATTTGATGTCTGTAAAAGTTTGAAAAAAAAGTAACTTTTCCTGGAGTTGTTAGTATGATGTTATTATATACGTATTCAAAAACCTTGTTCGAAAGTTGAGCTTGACTACATTCATTTGGTTTGTAATTATCATGCTTATAACAGAAAAGAAATCCGTTACGTTTTTGTTCGACTCTCTTCTGATCGAGCACAAAGCATGCTGTAAAAAATGTTACAGCGAAGAAAAAAGTCATAAGTACTGCAACAGCTGCATATATACAGTACGATTCTAAGCTCGGTAGAATCTGTAATATTTCTTTTTAGTTTTGCAGAAAGTTTAACTCGCCACACTTACAGTTGAAGAACCCACAATGAAGGCAAGAATATCAGTAAATGAGGTAATCGTTATGGACACTCCTGCGTGTTTAAGCATGAGACCCATTTTCTCTGGCACAGGCAATTGTTTCTGTTCTTTACTTAAGTCTTCCCAACAAGCCATGATGACGAACATGTCGTCAATACCTACATCGAAAATGTTCAAAAATGCCTTTTTTAAGTACATATATACATATATTGTAGTTAAAAGCACACTTAATGAAAAATAAAAAATTACCTAATCCGAGCAACAAAAAAGGCAAAGATGTGTGCACGGGTCCATAAGACACTCCAAACAAGGAACATATTCCACAGCCAACTATAAATGCCATTCCCACATTCATTAATCCAATGGCACCCAACAATAGCTGAATAATAACCAACGTAAGTTAAAAATTGAAAAACGAAGCGATAGACGGCATACCCTAACTTCCAACCAGTTAAATTTAGATATTACAAACAATACATATACTCCAGCTATGACGATACCTATGCAGAGAACATCAATATCTTGAAACATAGTTGCGTTAGTTATATCACCAAAACTAGAACATTGTAAAACGTTTTTTGTTTCGAAAAATTATAAAAGTACCTTCTGGAAGCTGTGTAATACTTTTTTATGTCGCTATCGAATTCAAATAGTTCTATGATATTTAAAAATTCTGCCTCCCATTCAAGCGCATCTTGAGATGCCTACAAACAGTACGGTATTGTTTATCTAAAATAGTAAAATCGAGGATACCCAATCGGCCGTGCCGGCGTAATTTCCTGTCTTATCCAAGTCTACTTCAGTAAAGTTGACCTTAACCATCCAAAATACTTGTAAAGATTTTGCAGCAATAATATGTCCGCTGGTGTTACGTTTTATTCCTCCAATCAATTCTTCGTAGTTTTTAAAACGTCCCAGAATGGCACTAAAACAGTAAATAATTTTAGGATTTCCAGTAACAAACGCTTTGTGCATAATTATGATGATTGACAATTTTACGTTTTATCGTAAGTATTAATGGTGTTTATAATATTCTCCTTGGTTAAATGTTTTATTCTGTCCTCGTTATAGTCCCACAATTCCAAAATGTTCTTTTCAAAACATTCGTTTTTCATCACTTCCACAAAACTACAATAAAGCGCAGCATTCATTGTAACACTTGGATCTTTTTGAGCCTTTTTGGATATGTCGTTTCCCTCCAGCATACGAATTAATCCCTTATCCACTTTTGGGATCCTGAAGAATTTAAAATTATGTTTATGTTAAAGGCTAGCAATGCTAAACTTACTTAAAACAAACATCGCTCCAACTAACATTTTTCGAAGTTTTGATGTTCGTGATTTTTTTTTCAAGTTCTAAAAGCTACTGGCAATAAACAAAAATGCACGTGAAATTACGCAAATAACACATACTTTTGAGAATACGCCTGGCTGTAGAACATCATCCGCCACGATTTGTACAACTTGGGGGCGGTAACCTAATTCAAACTTCTGCATTAACCAATCAGTATCCTCAACAAATTGAGAATTGGGCGGTACCCACAATTTTATCGGGTTTTTTTCTTGATGAAATCTTAAAAAACCCAATGCGCTCAAAAATACAAAAAACCAACATATTGCGATTGTTTTTTTAGGATGGCTGCCCACTTTGTGTCCTAAACTGCAAAAAAATTCGTAAACGACAAACAATCTAAAAACTGATGAATTTAAAGAAATCACTTACCAATAAAACACATATTCTGTTGAATTTACCACCGTGTAAGTGAAGCGTTGATACCAACTTAAACTTGGTGCATTTTTGGTGGACATTTTTAACAATTCGTTTGTTATTTTGGGTTTAAAATAAGCGTATTTTGTACTAAAACGAATCTCATACCTTAATATCTCTGCCTTAATGCACCAAGAAGATAAGTAATTAATTCAATTCTATTCGACCCGAATCGGGCTACGTTTATTAATGAATCAATTAAAGTCGAATTTATGGTTAACGAGTAGACAAAATAGAACCATAGTTTTCACATTGCCAAGGAATTTTACTGCGCAAGGTGAGCAGCTTTTTCGTCACTGTAATTATAGAGACAGTGTTCATCGTTTCCTATTTTGACTAAAAACCATCACATTGAGGTTATGTGTAACGATTTAAGTTGGCAATGCTTTTGATTATTTTTGAGAAAATCAAACGTAATACAGGCTAATAGAAAAATGACGAATAGGATAGTACGTTGCTATGAAGGCTGCGAAGAACTCGAAAAAATGGTTACAAAAATCCCTGCATCAAACTTTTGAAGATATTAAATTCAAACTTGAACAATTAACGTCGTAATTCTCATGTTTTAATGAACATTTCATAATTTAATCATAATTTACTAGAATACAATCCAAAAAGTCGTTGTTGATCATTTTTATCGTAATTTTAAGACTGCCAACTGAATTCACATTTAAACATTAGCATTACGAAGTTAATTCTTCAAATCTGAAGCAATATTTTCAAAAATTTGATTGTTCTTCAGAGCCTTTTTAGCAGCGTGCGATTGAGCTTATCGGTCATTTTTCATCACCCTGCGTAACGTATATAGTTTATGATACTTTTATCAACTTGTTTTTATCAGAATATTATTGTTTACAAAGTTATAAGGAGGGATGTGGTATATAGTAATCGGTGTTTACGAAACTCATCAAACCAATAATCAAACAACGTCGTCTTTACATGTCAATAATTGAAAACATTTTAGTATTTTGCATAGGTTCGCCCCGTACGTATCATCATAGTTGAAAATGGTGAAATTAACCGAAGATCAGTTCGACCTCTATACTTACAAAAATACGGGGAAAACTATTTCTGTGAGATCCTTTACTTGGGAAAACGAAAACAAAATTTCTGTTCAAGTAATTACATACGGAGCGACCGTGACGTCCATCAAAGTACCAGATAAAGCTGGCGTCGTTAAAGAAATTGCTACAGGATTTAAGGATTTGGCAGGTGGGTATATTTCTAACTATACAGTATTTTTTATGAAGCACTTCTGCCTCTCTATTATAAATAGGTTACCAAAATTCTGAAAATCCTTATTTCGGGGCTACGGTTGGTCGAGTTGCGAACAGAATTGGCGATGGACAGTTTAAACTCTTTGACGAAATTATCCAAGTGAGCAAAAATTTAGGAAAACATCAATTACATGGTGGATTCGTGGGTTTCGATAAGGTAAGTACGTTTACGTACATAGTTGAGAAATTTACACCTGTTGATAAGTATCATTATAAAAACAAAATATATACATGTACTTTCGCACGTAGCTATTAAACACTGATAACACGACGATAAGAACGAACAATAGAAAAGTATCATTTTTTCGATTAATTGCAAAATGACTAGCAGGGTCGAATTAAAAATTAGCGACTTCGGTCTTATAACTGAAGAAATGACGAAAAAAAAACACCTGTCAAACTTTTCACTTGGAAAAATGGAAATAACATTTCGACACAAGTGATAACGTACGGTGCTACGATCACGTCTATCAAAATACCAGCGAGAAATGGAGTTCTTACCGACATTGTTACTGGTTTTGTTAACATAGAAGGTAAATTTTAATCGTAAAAAAAAAACATCTTGAAGTCATTTCTAGGATACCAAAATCCATTAAACCGCTATTTTGGTGCAACGATCGGTAGAGTTGCTAACAGAATCAAGCAAGGTCGGATCAAAATTAACGATGAATCATATTCTCTCACGGTTAATCATGGGGTTCACCATTTACACGGGGGGCTGAAAGGTTTTGATAAAGTAACGTTGGTCGCTGTTATGTACGGGATCGTTCATTTTTACTGTTAATTTTTTTGTTAAGGTTGTTTGGGAGTATTTCGTCGATGGGAATAAGGTGATCATGAGTTATCATTCCTCAGATATGGAAGAAGGTTATCCCGGTGACCTTGTCGTTCACACAATTTTTGAATTGACAGATAACAATGAGTTTCGCGTGGAATTTAAAGCTACAACTACTAAACCGACTTACGTCAACCTCACCAATCATTCTTACTTCAACTTAGCGGGTCATAATACAGGAGCTAGCGAATTATACAAGCATGTTGTTTGCATCAACGCGGACCAAATTACTGCAGTGGATAAAGACAGTATCCCAACAGGTACTTTAAACCGGTAGAGACGACAGTCTACTACGAGTTTTTCTTCTTTCAGGAACATTACTACCAGTTGCTGACACTGTATTTGATTTGCAAATTCCAAAAGTTTTGGGAAATTTGATCAATAAAGTTCCTCACACTGGCGGTTTTGATCAAAATTTTTGCATTACAAAAGGACCAGAGCAAGAAACCACTTTTGTTGCTAGGTGGACTACTGCGAGAAACTAAGTATTTTACGACTATATTAACGTTTTTAGGGTTTATCACCCTGAAAGTGGCAGGGTTCTAGAGGTCTACAGCAACCAACCAGGCGTGCAATTCTACACTTCGAATTTCTTCCCAGAAAATCCTGCTACTTATAAAGGAGATAAAAGCAAACTAAAGACTCTTACTGGAAAAGACGGGAATTATTATAAGCACGGAGCTTTCTGTTTGGAAACACAAAATTGGCCAGATGCGCCTAATCATGTAGGTTCCATAATTTTGAGCGACATTGTCAAATGCAAAGATCTAATCTATACCTAGTTTTTTTTAGTGGTGTTCAAAACAACAAGTTTATTAACACATATTTTTGTAGGAAAACTTCCCAAAGTCAATTTTGAGGCCTGGCGAGACATACTACCACTACGTCGCTTACAAATTTTCAGTGAAAAATTAAGAATATCAGTTTTCAGTTTTTATTATTGCAATAAATAATAAAATTTGTGAATTTTCTTAAAACTACACTGGAATTTTTGAATAAATGTATTTGAGATACTTATTTCTAAAATACTTCCACTCCTAACACGGTATACTGAAAACACAGATTTTACAAAATACAGATCTAACTGTCATCATTTTATATGTGTCCGTTATTCTTATTAGTTATAAGGTTATTAAAAACTTCAGGATCTGGTAATTTCCACTTGTACTTCTCACTCAAAATTTCGTAGACCTGAGGTGATGTTGAATGAATAGTTGAAAAAAATTCTAGATCTTCAGATGTGAATTCACAATTACCATTAATGTTTAAATTTACTACACTAAGCAAACTTGAAGGAATTTGTTTTTTTAAAGTGTGCAGTAATATGCTATTACTGGGCCGTTTACACGATCTTTTAGATTTTAAAATGCGTTTTAAAATAGCAATATCTTTACTATGTTGTTTAATTTTTTTGACATACTTATGTCCTACAGTTCTAGAGAAAACGTCGTCAGTCATTCTCACAGACTTTTGTTCCTCGACTTGCGTTGCTTTTTGTACTAATTTCTGAACCTGACTTTCTGTCTCTACATAATTATCAAAGTTTTTGTCAACCCGAATTGTTTCACTGTTAACACTTGTAAACATATCTGAATCAATATTATTTCCTACTTTTAAACCTCCAATTTCCTCAATTTCCCCATCCGAAAACATAGTCTGAATACTATCTTCAGCACTTTCGTTGCACTTACTAATAGGTAACACTAATCCATTATTAGTATAAATGTAACTTTCGACTTTCTCAGACTGAAAGCTATTTTGCATATTAGTCTCTAAAACAAAAATTGTTCCATCAGCATTTGCGGGAAGAACTTGGACGTCTTGGATTTTTATCGATCTCTCAATTGACTTTGACTCGCAATCCCCCTCCAGAGTTGGTATAGCACCCTGCAGAAGCCGTTTCTTCTGCATGTTTGGGAAGTAGCAATCTTCAAAGTGAGTTTCACATATTACTTTATTCCGTAACTGATCTTCATCTAGATCGTAAAATTGCGGTTTGTTGGCGTTTTCGATCCACTGTCTGCATCGATCTTTCTGCTTTACGGGATAGTGGAAAAAATGAAGATTGTCTCGTGTTTTCGTTGTATTCGTGCAATTTTTATAGGAACAGCGACAACCACCCATCTGCATAAAGAAAAACCGTCAAACCATTCGCTGACTACTTCGATAATAACACATAAAAACATAACCTATAAAAACATGAATGAAATTTTATATGTTTATGACTTACCTTACTCCTTAGAATACGTTTATTTTATGTTATAAGTCACTTCTAGTTTCGTCTCTTTTACCAAGAGTTTATTTTGAATAGTTTACAAAAAGTTACAAATGGCACAGTGATTACTATTTGTTACCGATATTAGCGTCCAATCAACAACGTGGACATTACCTACGCGCCATATTTGAAACATAGATTTGTTGATTTTTTTATAATATCTGAAGAAAAGTATGCAATTGCTAGGAATTTTACGAGTTTTTCATTTCTACAAATAAAGATCACAAAAGTTGCAGGAAATCTTAACAAACTTAGTACATGTAGTTCCTCTGAAATGGGGGACGGATGACACACACGGTTACTGGAACAGGCACGTAACCAGGCTTTTATTTTGGAGGGGCCCAGCCCGGGCATTAATTTCAAATAAGGGGGCCTTTAAAAAAAGTCTTCATTAATATAAATCAACATTTTACTTGGATCACAACCAGTATATAAATTTAATGCGGTGCAAATAGTTAGTTGAAACTGACAGGTATTTACTTTTAATATTGAGAGGTACAATAATCAAGATTTTCACGCTAGTGCGTTAGTGACTTTACTGTACGGAAATGTTTACTTTTTGTATATAGGTATGTATATGTACTAGAAATACGTATAGTATTTATTATGATATGCCAATAATTCAAAAAGCAATTAAAAAAAAGTTCGCTAGTAGTCAAGATAAAATTAATAAAATCTTACCAGAAATGAGTGGGAATATCAGTTGTATCAGCTAATTGCTTAAAAAAGTTATCGACAAAACTGTTCACAGCAGTATCGCTTTACTCAGAGAGTTATAATATAAGATAAGAACATAAGATTACTCTCATAGCTAAAAATTTACTGTTGATCTAAAATTTCGAATTTGCTTTACTTTTAAAATTTAAAATTAATTTAAGGGGGCACCAGGGGTGGCACAGGGTTTTGCTGGGGTGGCCTGTGCCCCCCCCAGCCCCCCCACAGTTCGAAATTTGAAAAAAATATTATTGTGTCTGTTTAAAAATATTATTCATAATATAAACTGATGTATAATCTTTTTAGCAGTGTAGTATACCTTTACGCAATAATGAAGCTACAACACTTTTTTAAGCATTTTTGGCACTGAATTTTTTTATTTCAGTTTATTTATTTCACACTAAGAAGTGACATTTTTATTCTAATATTTTTTAAAATAAATGCAAAAAATTGACTTATACGTGCTAATGTGTTTTGGTGACGTCACTCACTAATTTAGTCTACTGATAACTAAATTATTCGCAAAACTTTCATATTAGTTTAAAAGATAACAGTAACGAAAGTTGCTTCACATAAGTGTAATTTTATTCTATTTCACACCCTGCCATTGTTGAATCATCAAATACTTGCAAGACGACTCAGAACTTTTTAAAAAAATTCTCACTGCGGGATATAAAACAATTATAAGCAACAATTCAATTTTTAGCAACACATTGTATTTAAATTTCACATACTTACTAATGATTCACATCATTAATAAATAGTTTTTGGAACTATTATAGAATATTTCATGTACTTTATTCTGATATTTCTACGAACATAAATCAGCTTGCGTTGTTAACTTCCTCCGTACGGATTTTTACTTTTAATTACATTAATTAATTACATGATTCATAATTATAATTCGTTCTTCAGTTAATATTTCTGTGCAATTTCGTCAACTCCGTTGGTATACCGTAAAACTTTATCATATCCATTTATGCTCATTTTATCGTCTTATATTTTTTAATAAATAAAAAATACAGAAAACTACGGCTACTAATGCAGAATGTCTTAAAAATAGTAAAGTATATCAAGCAATTTAACTTATCTAATCGGTATCTCAGATACATTTTTTTGTCTAAATTCTAGAAATGCAAAAATGGATTCTCATAAATTCATAATACACAAGTTCGAATCTTGTTCAATTTTGAAAAGAAAACAGTCAAGTCATTTAGGGCATTTGTACGAGTATAAAATAAATAAAACTGTTCTTCTATATTTTTTGCCTGTGTTACGGATGAACGAAATTAATTTTGTAAAATTGCAGCGATGCCAATGAAATAATCAATAACAAATCATTTACATACATTTAGGAAAGATAAGAAAAACCCATGTTATACTTATCACATGAACTATGCGTAGAATGCATTCTTGGTATATATAGTGTAGTACCTGGGTTATGTACATCACGTAAAGCTCATGTAAGAAGTGAATTTTCTGTGTACATGCGGTAAAACAGAATATGATCAAATGTCAGTGTCAGAACTCCAATGTCATGTGTCAAAGTAAACTAAAATGAAAACTGATAGTCAACGCATACGCCGAGAAATAACAACTAGTGATAAGTTAAAACCGTTTTAAGTTTATGCGGCTTGCCCTCTTTGACTGCTTAGTAATAAAACAAGCGAACACCATTCGACGAATTCGCGTTCATTCTCCAGTCGGTTTTGTGGCTGTGTGTGTGGTGGGCTGTAGTAAGTATGGCTACTACAGACTTTGCCAAATTAACCCCTGACGAACGGGAAGAAATCAAAGAAAAGTTCCATGAGGTGTGTATTTTGATTGTACAATGCAATTAACCGCAATTACGTCTTTGTCTTCTAACTCGATAAAAGTCTTGTTAATGTTTACATCGAACGATCGGAACGTGACACATGTATCAAGCTACGCCCAACTATTCTTTTAGTTTCTGTTTTTCTGGGATAATTTGTCTATTATGGGTGTGTATTATTATTATGGTGGAAGACGTGCATTTATACTAGAATTAAACTTTTCGATGGGTTTGAAAAAATTACTCGACTTGTTCGTGCATGAGTCATAAGTTTACCATAAGGTTATGGCAGTTAGTCATAAATATGTATCTGCTGCGTACCTACACTTAATTTATTATATTTGAAATTTGTTAAAGTGGTTCTTATTTCACACTCGGGAAGCATGAAATAGACAAAGTATGTGTACAAAATTTCCATAAATCGGCGATTAATTATCTCCATTCTGCAAAATTTGTGAGCAATCGCTCACTAGAGCAATGTTTTCTAGCATGAAATACAAAAAATATTAAAATGCTTAATGTTTATCGGCTTTATTATTGATAAACATCTGTTAATAATAGAATACTTCGGAGCTAAATATTGGATCGATAGGAGAGGAAAATGCACCATTGAATTTCCTTGAACAGAATATTCACGCAGGTTTTTGTGTCACGGCAATCTCAAATTTATCGATTAAAAATCCCAGTTACTTTAAATGTATGTGCATCATTCCGTTGATTACTCACTCACTCTACAGCTAACTTGCCGGAACTAAATTTCCTGCGAGAAAAAGGAAAAACCCAACCATTAACTACATCGTTTCCGTACACTAGAATTACTAAGAAAGTAAATATTTAATCAAATTGATCATCCATTCTAACACTGCCAATGTCCCGGAAGTGTTTTTTTTTTCGCCCCTATAGTAGTTGCTCTTAGGTCATCACCACATGTACTTACTAACAATACGAACCAGATGTCCGATATTACGCCTACGTAAACATCTTGGTTTATCGGTTTTGCTTAATCCTCATTTTATGAAAATTTCCGTTCGTTAAAAATGATATTTAGCTACTACAAGCTCGAAGGTATTGTTTGTTCTATGTTCACCTCAGATAAGATACGAAATGAGCTTACAGGAAATATGTGGATTCCATAGAGGCCAAATAATTACCAATTTGGATTATAATCGGTTGTAAGTTCTCATGTTACTTACCTTCCCATCCGAAAATTCCCTTAGTGATCGAACCAGAAGTTGACTAGATATTTAACACTAAATAGAATATGTAGGCTGAATTTAAAAGGTGTTGATACATTCCGCGTCCGCTAAAAATGTAACGATAAGTTGTGTGTAAGCAAAAATATGGTTCTGCAATGAAAACGTTTCAACATAAGGAACAGGCTTAGATAAAACTTCTGATTTTCAATTTTGTATGCAATATTCTGGTATTTCGATTTTGGGTCATTATAATATCTACTAATACAATGTATTTGAGTGGATTGAAGGACCTAAAAATCACATTCAAGATTACAGATGTGTAGCTCAAAACAATATAGTTTTTCATCCTATGGCGCCAGGCTTCACATTACACAAACATGATATTTATCATTTCCTGTAAAATTTGTCTCAATGGGTGGTGAATTTCTCCAAATATATCGCGACCAAATGTTAGTGTTACTTATATGACGGAAGTGCGGTCTGTTGAAATACCAAATATCTACATGCAGTACGAAATGTCTATCTTTAGAAGTTCGGTTGTTTTTGTCACGCCCAGTAAAATGGATATATAATTTTAAAAATTCTCCAAACTTGATAATAAATTGATAAAATAAGATACGGTTACGAAAACTTCAGTTGGTGTAATTCTCAACGCAGAATCAGTCGTGGCGAGTGGGTAATACACGATAAGATGGATGAAACATATATTGATGAGGGTTTTCTGGAAGCTTTTCAACAAGTAAGCATTCTTCTTCTTCTTTATTTCTTTATTTGTTATTTTATTTTTTATTTTACTCAGTAGTAAGAACCAGAATTTAGTTAGTTTTTTTTTATCTAGGAATCTGTCGTTATCCATTGATAACGTCTATCTAAATAAATTAAAAGTACTAAAATATACTGTACTGATTTGGGTCAAAGCTTTGGGCGTTGTCGGAAACAGCAACCAAAGTATTTGAACATTTATTGACCGATTGAAATTGAAGTTCAGATTAGATAGACCTAGAGAAACCAGATAGATACTCTTTACCACAAATGTAAATTTTTAAGTCACGTGTTTCTGATTTCACTGCGCCTGAAAATCCTCATATCAGACATTCTGATAATGATTTTTTATATTTTTAATGCTTTTCTACTTTAGTTGGAGACATTTAAGTTTAAATTATCACGTAATCAAAAAAATGTTGATAACTACGATAAGATCGCAAGGTTTTTAAGAACTGTTCATTGTGACGTGGTGCATATAAACCCGTAATAATTGAAATCACATTTGTTACAGAAGTAAAGAGATAATGACTGGAATGTTCTGTGGATAACTAAATAGGACACTATATTTTAAAGTAATCATATCACCAGTGCATCCTCGTTGTATTTCCTCTCTTGACTGTTTTTGATATTGGCCGACAAATTGGTAATGCGTACAATTGAAAAAACATAATTTGTCTGGGTTGACCGTCAACATGTTTAATAATTATAAGAGCCCGGACAGGAGAGGGAGAACAGGCACATTGCTATTGCATTGTCGGAGCGATTAGCCTTCCGGTGGCTAAAAAGGGTTTATTTTCCTTCAAATTCACGCGTACACAGCAGTGTAGATATCACGCGTACCAATACTGAACAAAATTAAATTACAATGTAGGTGTCTAGTATATTTCTAATCACCAACTTAAAAACTTACGTACTTTGTGGGTAATAACCACGCGATTCGAAATTTTTTTATTAAGAGTACATGAAGTTTAAAATTGAACATTTCACTGGACAAAAGTAAAGCCATGCCGAGGTGGCTTCAGTTATCGCAACCTACTTAAGTCGCAATGCATATACGGGAACCGACATTTAAATGTAATCGCATTTAACTTGACGTGTTGCCCTTGTAATAAACAACATTTATGCTATGAAACAGCTTCCCTGACATACTTTTCGGGCGATGTATAGGTTGTATTTTTTTAATTTCCACAGATCGACAAAAATGGCGATGGATACATAGATTTAAAAGAATTACGGGATGCCTTAGATGCCTGCGGGTTCAAAATACCCGGTTTCAAAGCTCGCGCCATGGAAGAGGAGTTTAATAATTCAAATCGAGCCCAAATTCCAGGCAAGATGACGTTGGAAGAATTCCAAAAGTTATGTAGCGATTTAAAAGCGAACGAAGTAGCTAGCACTTTTAAAATGGCTGTTACGAAACGAGAAAATTTACAACATTTAGGAGGCACGTCGGAAGCTTCCAATGAAGGAACCACGCATTCCGTTCGAGTCGAAGAACAGTTAGCTTTCTCAGATTGGATTAACTCTAATCTTAGACACGATCCAGATTTAAAAGACTTACTACCGATAGATCCAGAAGGGAAACTCTTGTATGACAAAGTTAAAAATGGAATATTATTATGGTATGTACGAGCGTCTATGAAAATGAATAATCTTTATGAAAGCTATTTTCTTTTTTCAAATTTTAATACTTTTTCGAATTTTGGTGTTAGTTGACAGTTGTTGTTTTCTAAACCAAGAAATTGCAACAGCAATACGTTTCAACTGTCACATAGTACCTCTAGATATTAGTTTTTTTATTATGTGTTAACTTCGAAACAACAACATATGATATTTTTAGCAAAATCATCAATCATTCCTGTCCAGATACCATAGACGAGCGTGCGATTAATAAAAAAAATCTAACGCTATACACCAAATTGGAAAATTTAACTTTGGCCTTATCGTCATCACAAGCAATTGGTTGTAATGTGATAAACATAGACGCGCACAATTTGTCCAAAGGGACCCCACATCTTGTTCTAGGACTTCTATGGCAGATTATCCGAATCGGTCTTTTTAATCAGATTACTTTAGAACATTGTCCAGGCTTGACAACTTTACTATCGGAAGATGAGAAAATTGAAGACCTTATGAAGCTTTCGCCAGAAGCGATATTATTAAGATGGGTGAACTACCACTTGGAACGTGCCGGTGTTTCTAGACGTATTACAAACTTTCAAAGCGACATTACGGATTCAGAAGTGTATTCCCATCTACTTAAACAAATTGCTCCAATGGAAGCTGATGTTACTACTGAAGCTCTCATGGTAACTAAAAGTACCATCCACTGCCATTATATAAGATTATTTTTTTGTTGTTGTAGGAAAAAGATCTTCATCAAAGAGCCGAAATTATGCTCCAACAAGCCGCAAAACTAAAATGTCGGTCATTTGTGACTCCTCAAGATGTAGTCAATGGTGTCTACAAACTTAATTTGGCGTTTGTAGCTAATTTGTTTAATAATCACCCAGGCTTGAATGAAACGAATGGCGTTCTAGATGGATACGAAACAGTTGAAGAAACAAGAGAAGAAAGAAGTAAGTTTTTTCGTTTAAATTTAGGTACTTCTTAATGATAATAATGACAATTTTATAGCATATCGCAACTGGATAAATTCCATGGGTGTTAGTCCACATGTAAACTGGCTGTATTCCGACCTCGCAGATGGTCTCGTAGTCTTCCAACTTTACGACATCATTAAACCAAACATTGTCAATTGGAATAAAGTACATCGAAAATTCACCAATCCACGAAAGAAATTCATGGAAAAATTAGAAAATTGTAATTATGCGATTGAACTGGGTAGAGAAATTCGCTTCTCATTGGTTGGAATTGCTGGTCAAGATATAAACGAAGGAAACGTAACTTTGACATTGGCATTAATATGGCAGTTAATGCGAGCGTATACATTGACAGTTTTGTCGCAGTTAGCGGAATCCGGAAATCCAATAGTCGAGAAAGAAATCGTACAGTGGGTTAACAATAAATTAGTTTCAGCAGGAAAACACTCTTCCATTCGCAGTTTTCAAGATCCTACAATCGCCGATGCTAAAGTGGTTATCGATTTAATTGATGCTATTAAACCAGGTGCAATAAATTATGACTTAGTCAAAACTAATGGTACTGAAGAAGTAAGTTTTTTGATGGTGTAACTTTTGTTGGAGTAATTGTGTTTGTTTTGTCTAGGAGAACCTTGCAAATGCCAAGTACGCTATTTCCATGTCTCGCAAAGCAGGGGCAAGAGTGTACGCACTTCCAGAAGATATTGCTGAAGTTAAACCTAAAATGGTAATGACAGTGTTCGCTTGTTTGATGGCTTTAGATTATACACCTAACATGGATTCTCGCCGACAGTAGTAACAGAAAATAGATTTTATTTGACCTATTGTTTAATCTTGTATTGGGTTCTGTAATTTTTGAATCATCCCATATCTTTTCATACTTAATTTGCTTAGTCTGTGATTACCACGCATTCCAATATTCAAAACCATTGTATATAAGTTGTAGTTTTAACATTTTATGTCTTTAAGGTTAACGTGCAATAAAATTTATTTCGGCTGTAATGAAAACCTATGACAATTGTGACGTATCTTTCAAAATTTGTTTACATAAATAATTCCCATGCAAGTGTTATTACTTTATAATTTGTATATTTTATATACATTAATTTATTTGTGTTGGCTTTTTTTGGGGAAGTGAAGTGCCATTTTTTAGTTAAGTTATAGAACTTAGATCGAGCGTAATTAAACATAAGACCTTATACATGTATAAGTTTCTAATTTTATAAACTACTGTTCTGGATTGAGAGGCATTTGGAAAACTCAGAGGCCTTGTTCCATTTTTATAACATAAAAATTAACGTTAACGTGCTGTAGTACAGTAAGTTTACCGTTTCTCCTTAATAAAAAGAACACTCGTTCTCCTCTCAATCCAGGCTAATAGTACCTACTAATAAATAAACGCTGTTTTAATACATACAATTCTATACTTTTCGAGTTTCATTTGCCTTAATTAAAATCTTCAAAATAGTTCTTGCTGGCATCCACTTCCGGCTTCATAGTTTTTTTCCCAGGTGTCCACCCTGCAGGACATACTTCGCCGTGCTCGTCAGTGAATTTGAAAGCTTGAACTAAACGAAGAGTTTCATCAACCGAACGGCCCACGGGTAAATCGTTAATCGTCGTTTGTCGTAGAATGCCATTAACGTCAATTATGAACAATCCCCGAAACGAAATTCCAGTTTCTTCGTCTAAAATTCCATAATCTCTGGCAATCTTCATCGATTTGTCCGACAAGAGCGGTATGTTCATGGGTCCCAAACCGCCGTGTTTGCGAGGCGTATTAATCCAAGCCAAGTGACAAAAATGGCTATCGGTAGACGCTCCGATTACGACTGTTTGGATTTTTTTGAAATCGTTCGCGCGGTCGGAAAAAGCGATAATTTCGGTGGGACAAACGAAAGTGCTTAAAAAAAATTCAATAGCGATAGAAAGAAGAAAGTTTAACTTACAAATCTAAAGGGTAGAAGAAGATGACAACATATTGTCCTCTGTAATCGGTCAAACTTATTTCTTTGAAGAGACCGTCGACAACTGCTGTGCCTTTGAAAAGAGGAGCCGGCTTCTGTAGGCTAGGAATGGGCATTGTGAAGTACTCTACCACTGATTTAAATGAGGAGGTTATATATATTTCTCGTCATCGATTTAATCAAACTAATGAAAAATTAAATATTTATAGTTATTACATTATGAAAATGTCGTAATCGTAATTATAGACAGAAGTGCATGTTTTATCAAATCGAAAATGGTTTTGGCAACACGTAAAAAGTGAAAAAAAAATGTGGGTAGAAGGATTTTCGTAATCATTCGTATTAGAAATTTTGATGAGAGCTTTGCACTACCTTCTGCGATATTTGTTGTATTTATTATTAATGAACTAATTTGTAGAACTAAAGTAGATTGCTGCTAATGTCATAAATTATGGAGGTAGAATGAAAGGAGGGAAGATAGTTTAAAAAAGGAATAAGTACAGCGTTTTCGACTAGGGTCATAATTCATAAATGACTCTTCCACAGGTCCTCCGAGAAACTGACCGTTTCAGTGGCGTGCTGGAAGGCGTTTGCCGAGTACTGGGCACTGTGACTGGGCAGTGGGCATAAAACACAAAAATAATTTATTAAAATAGAATATAAAAGCAGTAGCAGTGAAATTTACTAGAGGTTTTATGTTGCTGGACAAATATTAAGACATTATTATTCATGAATCCATTTTAAACCGAAGCGCACCGCCTCTGATCAGTGGCGGCTAAAAGGGGGAACAACCTAAAGGTCGATGTATAAATTCGTCGCTGACGTTGCTATTCGCCGCTGACGTTGCCGTTGTAAGACAAATACGCAGCGAAGGTATGCGTCGTTTATATCATCCGTTAACGGTGCCGTTCGAGATGACCAATTTTTTAATATTAATTATATTTTGCCTTTTTTTTCTTAATATTGTGATAACCCAAACATCCCGCCTTAAATTGACATGTGAAAAAAAAAATGAAAAGCTGGCGAAAAATTCAAAAATTTGGCCTTGGCTGTAATCGTCTAACAAAGTGGAACCCTACCAGAGATAATAGAGATATGACAGCTCGCGAAATTAAGCGACAATAGTCCTTATGTACTGCGCCCCAAACCGTCACTTTCGGGCGCGCTATTTAAATTTGAGTGAAACTTTCGTAGCGCGGCTATTTGATTACCAGGGATATTTCCAATCTTAAGAATATACCAAAAGTGGTTAATCTTTCTTCCAAAAATACTAGGTTCCTCATAAACGGAAAAAGACAAGATTAAAAAAATTACATTTCATAGATTTCATCATTAAGTTTATTCGAAAAATGATTGTATTATATCTAACATTTGTTGGTGTTTTTGTAATGTTTACATCCTGACTAATAGTAAATGGATAAAAAAAAACCATTAAATTACTCAAAATGGTTGTATTAACTTTTCTTATCCTTTAAAACTCTAAAATGTGTATACACAACACAAACTGTACAATTTTATAGCGAGGATAATAATAAAAGTACCCTCTAGCCCATTAGACGATTGTTATTACAACCTAACGTTGAAATTCAAGGACGACACTTTAAGGGGTACAAATACAGTTATAATATTGAATGTTACCTTTTCATTGCGAAGATGACTTTAGTCACTTTTAGTTCTGTGCGGGTGTTAATAAAATTATTTTTATCCTCTTATTATTAATAGTTATTTACATCACACTTTATTTGAATATAAGCAAATACAAGCTATTGTTCTGTATAAAATATATGCAGCACAACCCAACTGGTAATTGTGCTTTTGATTTAGCAACATTTTGTGGGGGCTAACAAATCCCACAAAATTGTGCAACATGTAATATTTGTGTATAGTCTGTATTTATTGACTTCCAACCACTATCACCCTGAAACTTTCTCTTCGTCCACCTGCATGTCGTAAAACCTATCTTTATTCGCCCTTCCCAATAATTCTTATCCTTCGAAGATTTCAAGTACCTTCTAACAACCCTTTCGACACAACCGTTTCACCGCTCTCTACCGACCTGTCTTTTCATTTTCAAAATCACAGACTCTAACACTCTTCCCTTATCTACTGAACCGACAACATAAAAAATAAATACATCACGAACGCAAGTCCTGTTTTAATCATCTGATCACACCACAATTCTTATCTGTTAATGAAGATATCTCCAATTTAAGTGAGAGGTACAACATCCCCACCATAATTAATAATTCCCAACCACCTCATAATGCCCTAAAAATAGATAGGATAGAGTACAAAGAGTTTGATTTAGCTGAACAAACTATCTTACGATAAATATGTGGATACTCAGTGGATGCATGCTTAAAACACTCTTCTCAGATATGCTGTGAATATACAAATGCATGTGGCAGAAATTCTAGAGACTATATTATTGTCGTTTCCAAGCCCACAATTCCAAAACTTTATCTTATGGCAATCTTAATGTTCCGTATGAACAGTTTGCAAAATTACATTGAACAATTAGAAAATGCCTTCAGTAGTTCATTTGAACATAATACACTTTTGCTTCCAGTTCTTAGACAACTTAAAAATCAGCTGGCCTTAATAGCATCCATGTAGTAATCTCCCCCTTGATTACCTTTTGTCATTATTTGTGCGATTACGTATATTTTATACATTGAAATTCCATAATAGGGAACTACAGAAGCAACCTAAAAAACAGAGGAAATTAATTACTTTGTCCCATTTATAGAGCATTTGCCAGTTCCATTGATTAATAATAATTAATTATAGCTGCAGAAAATCATCGGTTTACTTATCGATGTTATTTTTATAGAACTATTCCTGTACTTACCAATAGTATATTGTTTGTTAAAATGTATGTAACTGTAATAAATACATACATACATATGCAGTTAACATGACTTTTCTTTTATAATTTGAAACCATCGCATCATATTTAATTGAGGTTATCTCAGAGTTCGTGTTTTTCGTTCGTTATGTCACTTTTACTAGTAATATATTTAGTAACATTTAACATTGATGTTAGGACATCAGGTTTACCACCACAAATGTTGCGCCCCCAACCGTCCTTTACGTCAAATTCTGTGTTCACTTCGCTCCCATGCATTTCTTATGGAGCATTCAAAAGCTGTCATATCTCTGTTATCTCTGACCCTACATTGTATTAGTTTTTTTTTTTGTGGCGGAATGCGTTCAGATGCAAGTGGTGGATCCCAAGGTTGGAAAAGTACCGCTAAATAAAATACAAAATATATGGAGAACACAAAATCATTTATTCTTCCACTGACAAAAAAAAAAGCTGCGACTAAGTTGTGCCGGTTGAAGACACATCTTAATGCTCAGCTACAAAAAAAAAACATGCCTAAATTTGAACGAAATCAAATTAAACGTTCTGAATCAATGCAAATATTTGAATATCACAAATTTAATAAAAACAAAGAAAAATCTGAAATAAAGTAACTGGATGCAAATACCCAAGTTATCACGGATGTGTGGCGGCAAATTTAAAATTACGGCAGTCAACAAGAGAACAAAATTTTAATAAAAACTGGATGCAGCGGCAGCGGCACCAGAGCGTGGCGATCGAACTATATCAATTTCATTATAGAGCACAGCAAAATTACCCATAGGGGGCGTTGTAGCACAAGCGGAGTTTGGGGCTGCTGGTTGTGGCTGTTCTCCCGCCACGACGGTGATTCTCTTCTATCAGCAAGCACTGCCGCACAGCACCCTTCCATTATGAACATCCCGTACGAGCAGGTCGTTACGGTCGCAAACTCGTGGTTGGATCCCGGCTATTGGGCCAAGTCGACAGCGACAGATCATCCCGACCGACCTTGACTTCTATTCTAGGCCTGCATCTTTCATGGCGCAACCCCCAGCTCGACAAGGAACCGCGCACTCCGCTTCCGCCAGGTGTTTCTGTGTTATTTACCTCAATTCCATTTAAATGTTCAATTTCTATGACTCTGATATTAAACTACAACTGAACAAATGTTAAAGTTTCAGAAAGAGCAATAAACAACATTTGAATTCGCCATACTCTCGTGAAATTTTTAAACAGCAAAGCATTCTTATCTGAGATTAAGACTGGACATCAGACAATTTATATGATGAAAACATTAATCAACAAAATATTTAGGTGGTCAAAAAACTAGCAAAGATTTATAAAAAAAAAAAAAAGATCTGGTGTGAAGCAAAACTTGTGCAGATAAAAGGTTACGTGAGGCTAGGAACTGCAGAGCATGAAAATTTACGTCCAATTTAAATTATGCAACAAAGAAAATTACTGAAGTTAAAATTGTGAGATAGAAAGAAGAAAGAACTGTATGAGGTAAAAAATTGCAAAGGTAACAAAATTACATGAGAATAATATTTGCCACACCTTATCAACGATTCAAGCAAAGAATTTACCTGATGTTAAATTATGCCACACTTTATCAACGATTCAAACAAAGAACCTACATTATGTTAAATTATGCCATTATCCAAGTGATTCGTTATTTAAAAACAATTAGCTTTGAGAGTTTATATCGTGGACTGTCCCCAGCTTATCCCAAACAAACACATGATAAAATAAACACAAAATGCATCCAGCGTCGCGAGAAATATGTGTCTCGGTGATCTAATTTTTGACGTTTCGAGAAAAATGTCTCGGTGATGTGATGATGTGATGATAACTGCCTAAGGGGAAAAAATTTTCTCCCCGTACCTCAGTTCACGATATTACGAATTCTACCGCACTTTCACGGTTCTTTTCTCAGAGTGGAACAACGTTAGGTTAATTTTTAACTGCCGTAAATGATGTATTCGCAATTTTGTGTTAACAATTAAGAAGTGTTATAATGTAACACTTAAGTATAAGCATCCAGAAACTTATTTATAATTTGATAAACAAAGGATGAGTCCTGACCAAGTAAATCTCATGAAATCTCCTAGCAAGTACTTTATCTGAACAAATTTCATGACTGTTAAATTGTGTTCGAATCAATTAACGATTACAATCCTAACATGAACTGTGAATTTACAAAAAATAAAACAAATTTACACCACGTGTTAGCGTCGGTCGAACATTCGTATATTTCCGCTTTGAAAAACCGCAAGAATTAGCTACGCGTGTTGGGGAAACTGTGCGTCGTCCTCGTTACGATTCATTGTCGTTAAACAAAGGCTTCCTCCCTTTTTCTAATCTACCAAACGAACTAAACTTATTAATCTAGCTTCCTTATCGCGTCCTTCACTCACACCAAACAAAACAACAGTGACGCCACCGAACAGAATGACGCATTTCAACCCTCTACCAACGCTCTCACTAGATACTCCCTCACAAATTCCCCTAGGAGAGCTACCAACTACCCAAAAAGAACTAAACGTGCACAAAGTTGCCTATGTTTAACGATTTTCTTGCTTGAATTTTTTTTCAAATTCTAATTATTCAGATGCGATTTCGCGCCGCCGGTTTTTTAGCCCGAAATTTTAATTCAAATTTGATCACCACAATAGACACAGCCATCTTTTCATAACAAGAAACTTAAAACATGGTTAAAATGGTTTATGCAAGGAAATATGGGTTTTGCAATTATGAGGCGGAGCCTATGATTATGCAGTTATGGGTGGGGCTTAATTTTTTCTTAATATACATATTATTCTTTGAATAACACGATACTTAAAAAAATCTCTTGCATGGTAATTTCTTGTAGAGAAATAAGAATTTTGCATTTAAATTCCGCTCCTTTGGCTCTCGACGACTATAAAAAAATCATCACAATTGAAATAGGACTGGTGGGTGGGACTTATATTTTGCCTTTTTTCGTAATATACGTAGTTGTCTTTTCAGAACAAGAAACTTAAAACATGTTTAAAATGGTAAATTCTTTTAGACATATATCGATCTTGCAATTAAGCTCCACCCCTCAATCTGGCAACGAATGAAAAATTAATCAAATTGAGAATTAAGATCGAGGCGGCTTTATTTTTTTCTTAATATACATAGTACTCTTTGACCAACACGATACTGAAAAACATGTTTTTAATTTCTCGTAGAGAAACAAGTATTTTGCAGTTAAGCTCCGTCCCCTTGGCTCACGACGAATAAAAAAAATCATCACAATTGAGATAGGGTAGGCGCGCGGGGCTATATTTTGCCTTTTTTTCTTAGTATGTGTGGATTTATTTCGTCAAAGAGAAACTTAAAACATGTCTAAAATGGTAAATTTTTCATTTTCGTTTCTATGTATTAATAATAATTAATATAATACAAAAGGCTTTATGAATAGTAAAGCCTTTTATAGCCAAAAATGTAGCAGGTCTGTTAAAAGATGAAAACAATAGCAAATACATGAATTTATTTTTGAGGATTTAAAAAATATTGCCATTGGCGCCATCTGTTGAAAATATATTCCAAATGGTTCGAGTTGTAAACCAAACCCACATCACACCATACCACAGTGATCATAGCAATTACGAGTGCTGCCGCTGAATCTGTGTTATTTAGTACCATTATGATTTTGAGTATCTAATAAATTTTGAATATTTGCGAGTGTCAGTGTGTCAATAGGTGTTTTAAGATGGTAATGGCGTGATGGCAATGGTGAGTGAAATGTTTGTAAACAAGTCAAACGTCATAACCACGAGTTTCATATGTTGAAATTTTGGTATTTTTCTATTTATAACGTGTAGTGTTTTATTTCAACAACAGATTTTGCACTGGCCAAGGTGGACATGGTGACAACCACCTGAAAGCGATATAAATGAAAAATAAAGATATTTGGAGGTTATGTTGGGAAGCTGAGGTCTCGTGATGTAATCTTTTTGAGTGTTCCAGCGCAAATATTTGTTTTGTTGATATTTTAATACCGAAGTGCTTTTATTGTTGTAATAAATAAGTAATTTATATAACGCATGTTCAGTTTGCTCATGTCGGTTTTTTAATGTTTTAATCTATCATTTCTTGTTTATCTCGAGTACTCGTTTGTAACACGTGTATGTGTATCCTTCAGTTAACACAGTCATATTCCATTACAGTGATGTAATTTTTAAGAAAAAGTATGGAACTCGATTCCCAAAGTCTGGATTCTAATGAAGGAGTAGAACCATCATCAGTAAAGGGTAAGTCGCACATTCCATAATCATAGGTCATTGCTTGTCCTGTGTTTACTAACCATTCTTATCAGACTAATTATCCAGTTAAATGCTAATAATTACTTCGAGAAAAAGTCATATTTGCGTTATTTTTTACTTTTTTCGTAGCGCGTTCTCGAATTTACAAACAGATTTCACGCATTAAAATAAAACAATAGGTGAAAAATGACAAAACCTGTTAAAACCTTCCACGATCATTTGAAAAAAATATTGACGCATTATTTGCTAGCGTTCCCGGAACGAATTAACCAGGGAATCAACTAGGTTGTTGTTTATGTTTTAATAAATTTAAACAACCCCTTTTCTTGCTAGACCTGCATTATCTTGAAATAAAAAAAAAAGATAAGAGAAATAAACATTTTAATAATTTACAAGAACGTAATAAAGTTGATTATGAATTAATAAAGCTACAATATTGTGGGTCGTTGGCTTCATACTTTCACAAGCCGTGCACACATATTTAATGTGCACTATAGACTTGCGGGTTGTTAAAATACCGAATATTTGAATTGTCACGAGCGATAAGATTTTGTATATCTGAAACAATATTGAACAATAGAACGAACTCTTTCCTTGTTGTTGTTTTCCGTTTTGATTTTTTGAAAAGTAGTTAGTCCATCACGTTCATATATTACATAACTATAAATTTCGTTTTGACTTTTCAAGAACAACTACAACAGTTCAAGTGACATTAAGCGCATATTTTGATGTTTGTTATCTCATTATGTATTTTAGAGGGCTTTATAAAATTATTATCTGTTTTATTACAGTTCTATTATTAGAACTGTATCGATTGCGCTAACAAATGCTGTTTTAATATTATTGCACCTATATAACAGATTTTTTTTGTTGCTTAGAACATGAAGAACTATACCCTGGCGAATTTCTTTACCCGGAAGAAACGGAATCGACCGTGTTGGAAGCAAAAGTAGTTTATTTACTTTTACCAAAAAATATCCCTGTGTCGAGAGCTTCAAGACTTCAGTGGCTATTAGATCATTTGAATACAGTAATCACAGTTTCTAGCCTTCAGAAATGGGTAAATGCTGTTTAGATAACAGGGGAATATATATTGTCGTTAATGACGGAATACGCATTTAATTTGTTTTAATTTATTCTGATCTAATGAATTTCGTAATAATTCTAGCTTGCTTTCAGAACGTATCGTCGAATCTTATCGAAGTGGTATCGGTCGTAGCCAGGGAACACCATATTTCAAAATGCAACCGTTTTTTGATAAATTGCCGCACGGAGGTGGTTTTTTTGGCACACACCTATCGATTTGTGTACTGCTTGGATATGAGTCCATCACAGGCGATTGTTGATATACAAAACGGCGAAATACTTTTCGACGAGATACTCAGTTCATTTAAGGCTAGTGTTGAAGGATTAACCAGACAGGTTGTTACATTTAGAGCTGACACATGTTTTTTTCGTAACCTAACAGTTTTCCAGTTCACTATACCTGGTAACTCTTTAGTTTTCCAACCGAGTTTGTACTTGACCGTCATGGTAAACACTCCCTTTTTTATGAGTCCAGCGCAACAAGTTCTAGTCAAAGGTGTCCAAATAACTTCAAGTAACCTTCAAGAAATCGTATCTTTTGTACAAAATCAGTTCCATTTACTTGAAGGAAAAATCGCCGACGTTACTGCCATGGTTCACGATCAGGACGAATTTCAAAAAGTAACTTTACGTGAAAGTAAAAAAAACAGAAAACTTGTAATCGAAGTTGCGTATTTCAGATGCAACATGAAGGAATCGTGGGTAGTTTATTTGATCTCCCAGAAAACGAAAAAATTATTTCCAAAGTACCAATGGTATCGCCTGATGCCAATTTTGTAAATATGTTAAGATATTCAATGTTGGCTGTATCGCTTCTTCCCGAAAATAGCATAAGTCGTATGTTTGGATGAACGTTTGTCGCATACAATTCACTCGCTTGATTTTAGATATTCTAGTCATAACTGACGGGGTTGTGGCCATGCCAGATTCTAATATAATGGAAACTCTACTCTTACAGTTACATTACGATAGCATTGCAGTTTCTTTTATAAAAGTTGGCTCGTCGTTTCATCCTCACTCAAGTGCCGGCTACATTTCGTACACTGATTTGCTTAAGTTTTTTTCATATTCTACAATGGGTACCTGTTTGGAAACTTCTCCACATGTTGTAAGTAGATTGGTTTTGACGCGGATTCAGTGAAAGTTGCAAATTTTTACCGATTCCGCGACGATTTTTTATGCAGTGTTTTAATAATAAGATTGTTAATATAAGAAGCACGAGCCATCCATGCAGATGAACATATATCACGAGTTATTTCTTCTGTGGTCATTTCATAGTGCCGAGAAATACGATTATCGTAAAGCTAACGATGTCAGCAAATGGAGGTTTGTATAGATTAATTCGCTAAGAATCATTTCAACTTTTTTTTGTAGAAATGATAGTTTCTATAGTCATAAAACGCCAATTTTACTCTCAAAAAGACAGACTGACGAAAATACTAGTGCTTCCATTTTGTTGTTGTTGTCGAGGCGAATGAGAGAAGGTTTCGCTGTTGATGTATGTCATCCTCATAGACAAAAAAATAATAATGATACTAGTGATAATAATTTTTAGAGCATCAACTACATCAATGGTGTTATAGAAGTTCAGTTAAGTTTGCAATGGAAATCTCTAATTTACATTATCTACAAAGTGTCGTCACAGTGGCCGGTGGTCAAAAATAGTACCCACTTGGAAGTTTTTATCTCGGCTCCATACGAGTTCCTACATGATATTACCTGCATGATAAAAAAAGACACTAAATCTTTGTACAGACAAGCAATAATCGAAAGATTCTGGATGCGTTTGTCCCAACTGTCGTCCGGTGATTTAAATTTTGCTCAACAGCTGAGTGCTTTCCAAAATTCAAATCTATGGTATACTCTACCAGAGAGTGTCCGTAGTGGAATTCCCGTTTTTAATTTAAATGCGCCATGTCCGGATACCAACACTTTGCCATTATCGCCAAGGTAGACTGTCGAAAAAAAGAATGAGTGAAAATCTATTATGGAGAGAATTTTATTTTTTTTAGTAGTACTACGTGTCCGAAATTCGTAAATGCTTGGCAAGGTATTTGTAAGATGGAAGCTAGTAACTGGAGAAAGTGGTTTCATACGCATAAGGTTTCTCTTATTCTAAAACATGATAATCCATTGCCGAAGCATCTGCATTTGCCGAATTCCTCCCAAAGATATCAAGTAATAATGTCGAGAAAAAAGACAATGATATACAATAAGGGTCAAATTTCTATCTTAATTATTTTAAAGAAATCGTGACCCTTTTTGTCTCTCATGTTTCTTTTGAAAACTATTTCGTTCATTACTTTGCTTATTTGAAAAATGTGTTAGGTTGTGCAGTGCCGACAAGCCGCTACAGCTCTTTATGGAAAATTGGCTGAATGGGCATCGTTCGTTTTAATAGACAATCATACCTACTTGAAACACCTTTATAGAGAACCAATTAAGCAACCAGCGTGGTTTTGTATAGTGCGTATAAGCTCAAAGCCCCCATGTGCAGTACTAAATATAGGATTTGTGACCAATACTCCCGGTTATGTTAGACACGAAACATGCGAATATTTGAAAAAGGAACTAGCTGCCCTATCGTACATGCCCAGTCCGGCTAAATCTAAAGAGAACGTGTGCTGTGTGTTATTACAAAAACCTTTGGAAAAAATACTGATTAGGTAAGAATCGAATATTACCAAATGTTTAGTAAGATAATGTTTTGGATAGATACGAACGACTACCGAGTGACTTCAACACTGTAATATTCCCAGATGGCACACAGCCTCCTACACGAATCAACGTTCCTTCGCCTTTAACGGCTTCTTTATTTACGACTTTGTCTCGTTATTTGTACCACAAAAGATGGATATGGAACGCATCTCATAGTTCTAATCCGAGGCTCGTTGATCATGCCATCTCGCGAATTTTAACTACTTTGACCCGAATGAGAATTAAAGAAGGGTTCAGTTTTGCGCATTCGTCATCTGGAATTATCACCATGGTTCTAGAGTTGTTGATGGAACCGTATGCCAGTTGTGTTATACAATATGTTTTATTCCCACCTCATAGAGCCTGGCTAGGAGATGATTTATATAGTGGTTCAGAAGAAGAGAACGATTTGGAGAATGAATTTGAATCAGAACTGCAAATGGTGACTGAAGTTTGGATTGAACCTCAACACGGGAATGTTCAAACGGGCAACAATTCAAGAATTAGTTATATGAATAATAAACATTACTATGAATTGGCAGATGTGGTAAGTTGTTTTTGAGGGCGTAAACTTTTCGTTAGAGACACCTTTACAGATAAGTCACATCGACTTACAATGCATCAACTCATTGTTAACTATGGAGCATCTAAGTCTTATGTGCCAAGAGAAGAATCGATCATTTAGTGTAGATACGAATATAACTTTTAACCACCAGGCTACCATTGTCAAAAATATGACGCGTAAGAATAGTAAGAGCAATTTGATTGACTGCTCGATCGAGTCAGAGTAAGTTTTCGTTCACAGTTGCCTTCATGACGAGTTATTAGTATCATTAGTAGTTATAACAATTTTCAGATAGTAAAAGTACTATATAAAGATATGTACTTTTAAAATATTTTAGGTCCGAGTGGTATCCTATTACGAGTTCGCGTATCGAACACATTCCATTCGTTTTCAACCCAATTAGCATATTACCTTTGTGCCATCAAACGGAACTTTTATTTTCCATGTTCATCGAACGAAAGGATAAGAGCTTGAAAGGTTTCGAATCGGATAAATCCAATAAACTGCTTTTGGATAACATTCAAGAACATCTAACGCTTCTACATGATCAAGAGATCTGTTTAACTAAGGAAGAATCGGATAGATTCACCAGACAAATAATAGCGAGACATAAAAACATATATCCTTACCATTGTCCAATTGCGGAATATAGAGGTGCGTATAAGTACATTCAATGATGATGGTAGCAAAATATTTAATTTGCAGGTAATAATAACTTATCTGATGATTTTCCTTGCTCTCAGTGGCGTTGCTTCATCAAAGGGATTTCTGTGACACACGTAATCGTTACTTTTATACCTTCAACGTTAACCGACCTGAAAGCTTTAGTACATAGTGATTCTACGAACATTCCAAGTTTGAGCGAAAGTAGAGAGAGTTTCGAAAGAAGTTCATCTCGCGGCAGTAACTACAGCGATGTTCCAATAAACGTGACGAATTCGTTGACTTTGCCAATTTATGTTTATGATTGTCCGCTAGCCTTACTTGTTAGTGCCTATGTGCACAATCCCGAAGATTCGAAAATGACTAAAGATATATATGAAGATCATCGTTTCAAAACTACTGATTTTATACAAGACGAGTATTTGAAGTGAGTTTCGCATTTAAAAATAACCAGATTGTGAACCTGTCGTTCTAGATTGAAAACAGACGAGCCAAGTGGGAGTCCAGAAAAAAATGACGACTTCGATGTACCCGATGATAAAGATATAAGCAGCTTGCGTCATCACTGCAAGACTCTTGTTTTGGTACATTCGAAATGTTTCACTATTTCACTGTTCATAGCTCTACATCGTGATGTTTACATTCATTGTATGGATGTTCAATCGGCCGTGGATCAGTGTGAAGAAACTATCACAGAAATCGATATTACGGATTACGTTTTGGTAAGATTTTCTGAATCTAAAATAATCATTCATTGATACTTTTAGACGATTTGCGGTCACACGAAGCATTTGAAAGGAGATAACGTCCAAGTGCAGCACTTACGACAAGCCGCACCCTGTAATGAACTTAAGTCGTTACACGGCTTAATCAAAGACAAATTTTTCAAAATGGTAAACGTGGCCTTTATTCCTATACCAACGAATGCTGAATATTATTTTTGCCGTTACTTTAATGCAACTAAACCGGAAAGTAGATTACACACGAGCAATAATACTAATAGTAATAATAATAATAACAACGTTAGTGATGATGACATATCAAACCCACCATCGGAACGCGAGTTTTGTGTACATTCAGACGGTTTTAATATATTACAACGAATGGAAAGCGGAATTAACGACGTTATCACTGGCGATATTTGTCCGTTATTTTTGCACTTGGTTTGTACGTTAAGACATAACGGCCAGGTGTGTAACACACCTGTACGGCTACTGCCTACGTGTTTGGGTAAGTTTTGAAGGTAGGAAATAACCGAAAATCATTGTGAACTTTTAAAGGCGAACTGACTGAAAGTATAGATACTACAGCTGTAATTGACAAGAAGAAAGTTCAAGTGACTTTAGACATATTCTGTCTTACTTTACCCACGGAAGTACAGAACGTGATAACTGAATATTCTGCACAGGGCTTACGAACGACTTCTTTTTCCTCGGATGGATTTCAACCGAGTATTGCTAGTACTACATCTGAAACTAGCGTCCTTGGAGAGTAAGTCGACATTTTAGAACAATACGTCAGTTAATCTCCTCGTTGCAGAATTTCCGAACCGTTAATGAATCTGCCGGAAAATCAAAAAAATGCGATTATACTTCTTCGGGATGAAGTGAGTGATGCTTAACTCACCTCATTTCGACTCACGTATGATCTTTTATTTTCTAGATCAAATGGCTTTTGAAAGACGAAATAGCAACAGCACTGTTAGATATCGATTCTGTAACGATGAATACCTTGGACTACATCATGAGACACGTAGCAGAGAGTACTACGCGTTTCTCCTGCATTATGGATATTATTAATTTAAATTTTGTCTTCGGATCGGGTCAAAGCCAGGCAAAATTTATCGAAGAATTCACGAAAATGAAAATATCGAACTATAAATTAGTACAAGAAGAGGAATTGTACTATCTTGCTAAAGATAATAGTTTAGAACAAAATAAATATTCAGATTTTGATTACCACGACGTGCATCGAAACCAGATGAAGTATAACGATAATATTGTTGACGTCGAAACGATGTATGGAAAAGATCTCGACGAAATAGCGTCACAACCTAGTGATATGTCAAGCGTGAGTGGTAGCGTTTTAGGAACAGATGGCACAGGTGGGCAAACGACGCAAATGATAATAGTAGTAATATCATCCCAGTTTTAGGTTACGATGAAGACGTCAGTAACGACGATGACGACTACGAGTGGCTTCAACACTTAAACATGAAAAGAGAGCACTTACCTAATTTTTGGCTTATCACGAAGGTAGAGCAGGAGGCAGTGACGTTATATTTTCATTGTAGATTTTTGGAATTGGCGAACGCTCACGCAAACACATACTTGGAGGTGGAAAAAATCTTGAGCGATGAAATACGCGAATTGTGCAAAAGAGTTAATCAATCCTTGCTTCTGCAATCTCTGTATGAAACCCGCATTTGCGATTCACTTCTAGAACCAGACGATAATTCCAAAGATTGGCCCGGCAATGTTTGTTCGTCTCCGATTTCCCGAAACTCCTCTTATATAAGACTGAGGAGTATGGACGGTAACAAACTATAATCTGTGTTGCGTCTTCTATCTCAGACTGCTTTTCAGAAACGAGCGATGAATCAGAATTGATGACGTCGTCAGTTACTCTTTCGGAAGCGTCTTTAAATTTTAAACCCGGATATTTTAAATGTCCAGTGGTTTGGCAAACGCCGTTCATCTTACACCCTAGGTTAAAAACTGGCCCCGGAAAATCAGGTTTATCAAGAGGGATTTTGGCATTGAAAAATATTCTAGAAAAGTTTTCTGTGTCCAATCGCAATAACATGTTCGTCTACAGAGACAATCGCTCCAATGTTTTTTATTTGAGGTAAAAATTGATATTTAAAATACAATCAGCTTACGGGTCTCAATTTAGGCTACACGAAAACGTCCAAAGTTCATGTAATAAAGGCGCCGCTTTGAGACCTCTTGAATACGAAAGTGCCATAGTATCCCGAAGTCCGTCGATTGCATCTTTACCTTTAGGCCAAACAAAAAGTCATTTACAATACGAACAGAGCCTCTGCTCCGCTCTATCGGCAAGTATCTTAGTAATACAGGTTACGGTAACTCGATGGTGTCAGTTTTCATTAAATAAATCCAATTTGACGTGTAGAAAAATCGGCACAGGTAACTACTCTTTTGATCAATACTAGTTTTCAGGATGACATTAGGCCCAGAGTACGTTCGTTTGGTGAAAAAGAAAGCAAAGATGGTCCCAATGAAGATACTTTAATTTTGAAAGTACACGGCATTACGGAAGCCGGAAATGATGTTCAGTGTGAACTCGTCCAGGTCTTGCAAAACAGGTTGGACGATGCCGTTTTAGAATTTCTCTCTATTATGTTGGCGAGAAATTCGATGTGTCCGTTGACACCGGAAGATGTTCAGTTTATACAAAAACCATTTAGATTGCCGGAAGTTGTCATAAAAGTAAGTAAAATAAATGTTGAAAACTTTATATAGAGACTTGTTGTAGTTAACTATGCAAGACTTCGTCTTGTTATGGATGGATTCGTTCATCCACTACCTCAAACAGAATTTATTACAGTTTTTAAACATTCCAAAGTACACAGATAATAGATCTCATTATCATTTTAAGGTATGTGTTAAGTTAACAGGATCGACGTTGTGTTATTTATGATGTTTCAAGGATTACTCAGAACCCGAACAAGTCGTAAATCGTAACAGTGACGACAATATTTTCATCTATAATCAAAGTCAGAACCCATCGTCCGGAAATAGAGGTATAGCATGTATAGCCCTCGGTGTGGTCTATGCTTCAGATTATAAACCTACCGATGTCATCCCCAAATTTGAAGAAATTTTCGATACTAAAACTCTTCAAAACATGGTAACTTCAAAAATAATCGAAGGCGATAGGGATTTACCGCCAGTTTACTTAGAATTCCGATTATGGAAACAAGGCCGCGTTAATATTGACAATTTATCTATTAAATTGCGAGATGCAATTTGTCAAGCCACTTGGGATTTGGTGATGGAGTATTTAATTTTAACGGCTCCTCTGTGCGAAGAAAGAAATAGAATTATGTTACCTTTAACAGCTGTCAAGATTAACACCTCGGAATTGAACCTTGCTAAAGAAGTTGAATTTAATTGTATTCTTGAAGTTGGTAATAAAGATAACATTAAAGTTGTCGGTAGACGCAAACTCGAAACAATATTTTCTCATCGAAAGCGTGTTCGTCGAGTGAATCCTCCAACTTCTAAGACAACACGTTCTATAACTTTTGACGACTACGAAAGAGATAAAGAATTATACTTTGCAAAAATGTCAAGCATGAAGCCTTTGACCAAGCTCAACTCTTTTGAAACTGGAGATGACGGCATTTTATGTAACAACTATTCAAAATATCTGCCAGGATGGTTAGAATTCGGATCGACTTTGCTAGCGCCGTCTGTGCGGAAACAGAAGATTACCTTAACAAATTATCATCTACCAGGAGCTACCATAAAAGAATTGCTTAGCGTCCTACAAGATACACCTAAAGCATTCCGTTCGATACCTTTGCGTCCTCTGTGCGAAGATAATGATGAAGTTTTCGTTCCTCATGATCCGAAGAAGTTTGTAGAGAAATGCGTTATTATTTCACGGAACTTTGATAATTGGAAAGCGTCGACTGCCTTCAGAGGGACGTTAGATTATCCCGACTTCATGAGCCCACATTCGCTGAAACATACACAAAAATTTGTTCCAGCCGCTGCTGGCAATAAATTTATACCCAGGCAGAAAATTTTATGGATTTTGATTCAGAGCGATTCCGTAAGTTCATGTTTTATGACATGTGAAAGAAAGAAAATCAATCAAAATGTGCTAACGTACTTACCTTTTTTCCACTTTAACCAATTCACCTCTTGGTGCACATTTTTATTATGATGTATGTGTTACATTTTAGATTCTCATTTACACATACAACTGGGCAAGAGATAACATAGAGAAGTTAATTTCGAATTGTACTAAACTTGGCCAGTGGTTGAGCATGCGCTCGTGCTTTTTGAATTCGGTGACATCACAGAAGTTAGGCTTGTTTCATAACCAGGCGATTATTCAAAAAAATTTTGTATGTATTGGCTGCAAAAAATTTTCTCTAAAACTTTAGACCTCTCTTTTAGTCAACTTCCAACAATCCCTACACGTGTATAATTGGTTCAACGGCTTCAATGATCGAATTCCCCCGCGATGAAAGTCGGAAAACGTTAACGAGCACACCGAATATATCAAATATATTCGATGCCTTTAGAGATTCTTTCCATACTTTGAAATATAACACGAATGATCCCGTCGGTGTATTTTCGATGGAAATGCAAGAAATGAAAATCGCCGAGAAAAAATCAAGAGGTATCCTCAAAATTGAAAATTTTCCAAAAACACAGTAATGGTTTTAGATGAAATGAAGAAACTGCATTCGATGTACCAATCAAGAACCAGTACTACGACGGTCCCACAAATTTTTCTGTTAATGCAGAACTCAAGAATTATCCATTATTGTCATACTCCGCTGCTTTTTCTTCCCGAGTGGCGTTTAAAATCTGCAGCTACTAGAGATCATTCTTTGTGTTCTCCCACTCACAGAACGCACAAGAACGCTCTTGAAAAAGATTCCTGGCATACGGAACTCTGCTACGGATTTTTCTGTGAATATAGGCGATACTTGCAAACCTTAGGTTTTATGCCGTTGCAGATCGATAACTCGGATAAAAAACAAGGGTAACTGAATCAAGGCGGGTTAATGAGAGTTTCCAGACTAAAAGACGAGTGTGGAAACGTCTCCTCGTTTAAAGAGTTCTTGAAGGTGTGACTTTTATGCATTGCTTTTAGAATATGGGCACGCGACAATTCATCCCACAATTTTGTTTTTTACATCCAAAAAACCATAATGGGGGGCATATTAATCTTTACCGTTGAGTTTAACGAACCATTTTTCACTACTAGATTACACGCCATTGAGTGTAATAGATTACAAACAGTAACATCTAGAGCTTCAATTAACAGAGTGAGTAATATTTGTTTTTTATTGGTGTTTTTGCTAATTGAGTGTTATAGTTTACCTTGTCATTTTTGGACGAATGTGATCGAGTCAAAATATTGATGCATTTGCACTCATTTACTTACGATTATCATCTCAGGTGTATTTATAATTACATATCGAGCAATTCTGGGGTGAATAGAGTTTGTGATAGATATAACGTGACAAAATTCTTTGACGATTTTATGAAATACTACAACAAAGCTCCGAATTTTGCGCGCAATTTAATACATGCTGGTAAGTAATGGGTTTTATTTGCGGTTTCCGATTTATTTATTTTTTTTAGAAACAATTACAATAAAAAATCTAGTAACAGAAGGAAAACAATTGTATGATTATTTACTAACAAATGTCGACCAGTACGACTTCAAAGTTCTTGATATGGATAAAGGAGACGGAGAAGTAGAATACATCTTAGTACAGGTAACCAGTAATCCACAAGTATCTTATAAAGATTCACAAGATCGCGAGCACACCGATGATTTTGTGATCACTTTGGTCGTTTATAATTTGTGTACGCCATATGATCCTACGGATAACATTCTACACCTGAAATATTACTTAATTTTGACGTCTAAACGGTACGCGAAGTAATTGACCAAACATGTGTACAGTTAAATGTTTTTTAGAGAAATTTATCCCAAATCTGAAATAGAACCAAAGCTTGGCAAGTTCCGAACGGTTTCGTCTACTGCTAGAAGCTTATCGGCTTTGGAACAAATATCAGGTGACCTAGAAAACAGCATTTCAAAACCTGATGATTCAGGAGATTTAACTGACTCGGATGAACACATTATGTTTGCTTCGGAAAATCGAAGTGAAAGATCTGACGAGCAGCCTGTTCAGCAGTTTGAGATATCTCAGGAGTCAGTGAACTATTTAGGATATTATTCGTCACACGAACAACTTATGCAGCAAATGATTTTGGAAAAAGCATACACGACTCAAAGGCACATCAAGGAGATGGTTGCTAAAGGTGAACAAAAACTCGACTTGCAATTTCTCTCAACTGTAGAATTATATTTTAGGAATGGTGCACTGCAGGACTCATTTGTTATGGAATAAATTAGTGTCCCCCCAAGATTCTAATGCGTTGAACTATGATGAATTCATGGAGTTAAAAGGTTTGGCTAAACTAGAACATCTGTGTGATGTTCATCCAAATTTGGGACCGTTGTTAAATCAGCCATTAAGTTGGTACCAAGGTTTGGCTAAATTATTGTTAGTCAAATATAACGATCAAAATCGCACATTTATATCTTTTGATGGCAATATTCAGCATTATGTAATTTTACATCCCCGCTATGTAGGAGCTTTTATGTTGTTGTCGATAGATTTACACACATCAAGAGGGGTACTGCTTCAAACTGTTGATTGTTTTGCAGATAATCTATATATACGTATATATTTTAGGATTTATATGCCGTGTATCGCGAACCACACAAGCAAGAAGATGCAGAGTTATGTTTGGCTTATAGAAAAACACTCCTGGACGGTTTTGTCAATTGTATTTGTTTTTATCTATGGTATGGAATGATATAGTGACTGGTTTTCGTTGCGTTCGACATTGACGGGTATATCCAACGAAAATGCAAATACAATAATAGTAAATATCAAATTGTTGACTCCCTACCAAGGCAATTTATCACAGAATAATTAAAAATTCAACAAAAAATTGGTTACAAATTATCTATAGACCCGCAAAAAAGTAGACGCGAAGAAATCATTGAAAAATTTCCGAAAAAGGACCTAAAATCATTTTATCATATTCGTTTTCAGGCACACCAAAATGACTGTTCCATAATGAAGTATCTCGATATCTATATAGTAGTAAAAATTGGGTAAATGAAATTATTAAACAAACCTAAAATCCTTCTTGTCATCAGGAAAATTAAATTTCGTGCAAATAAAATGTCGAAACCGCATTAAAAATTTATACATATTTCGATATTGTCAACCAACCAAACTTCTAGGCGCTTATAGTTGTATAAATTCGAGTATTTTTGAGGGTGTTTTGCAGAATTGCCTTGGTCGGTAGGTGATTATTTGATTCCCGCTTTTTAAATAATTTGGTGATATTTCGTAATAATACTTCTATTTTGGCATATTAATTCATTATTTGTGAGCTGGAAATTTTCTGAATGTAAATTCCTTATTTAATTTTTATTTTTCGTTACAGTTTTCATTGTTTAATATATCAATTGTTGTGTAAGTAACCATGTATACTGTGATAATATTGTACAAGTTCATTTATACAGTGCCTAAATTTTTAAATAAATTAGCGTCTTAATAGTTAAAGTCGTTTTATTAACATTATACCTTCATGACGCTGTCAATTTAAAACATACCCATACACGTGCCATGTTTGTAATGACTTATAAAAAAAAACGTAAGTAATTTCAAGTCAAGCGTAAAGTTACTGTAACGATGGAACGCGCACGCAAATCTCGTTCATTAAATAAAGCCCCAATCGTAAGGTAAAAAAATATATTTACGAACTTACTAAACAAAAAAAATAAGTATGTACAATCCATTTTTTCATACATCGACAGATATGGCAGTGGATATTAACAGTTAATGCAATGCCACATAGGTACAGGAGAACAAAATAATAAGTTTAAACATAAGGTGTCGTGCAATGGCTGCATCAGATTTTATTGTTGACATAATCATTAACACCACAGCTTTAGCAAACTATTAATAACTGTTAAAACAAAATTGAAAATGTTATTGCATCGAGATTTTCTACTTTACCTTTGAGTAAAACTAATATTCTACAAATATTCAACATTTGACGTGTCTAAGGGATTTACACTATTCCTTACTGCAAACAAAACTAAAGAATAAAGTTGCCGTGTATCAATCAACAAAAAAAAAAGAACACGAGTGTATGTAATTGCTTAAAAACACTTTGATCTTGATGAATAATGATGCTAGAGTAATTTAAAAAACTATAATATCAAACAATGGATGGACAACAATTGAATAGGGGAAGGTTGTACTTCATTTCTTGTGTTAACATCCCAGAGTCACACTACTTAACCTTCAACTATTTTCAAAATACAACTCATTTAAAACGATTGTGCATAAATAACTGACTAGTTCAGATGAGAAACAAGTAAATATAACTGTAACTTATACTCCGCTAGTAACTTGTGGTTGGTTTCCCTGAAACCATGCTGTTTCTTTGTACAAGAACCAAAGATCAGCTGCCCACAGGAAGAAATTTAGAAATCCAAAAATCTAAAACATAAATGTGTCAGTTGTTTGAAAAAAATTATGCATTAAGCAAGCGTCATAGGAAGTTCCAAGAGTAAGTTAATTATGACATTTAGATTAGTTGAGCAAAGTTTCTCCCTAAACGCCTGCTATCTTAGTTAAATTCTTCTTTTGATATAAGCTATATATTATATCACCATGTCACAATAGTACAACGTGTGGTTGCATTGGTTGACAGTTGTTGGTCACTTACCACAGATATGTTTAAAGTTGAGAAGTTACTGGAGGTAACTGAACATTTACAGTCACCTGTCAATATTGGTTCTGTTATACTCTTCAAACCAGTCAGACCATTAGCCCAAGCAGCACTGCTAGAAAGCCACAAAACCCCAAAAATAACTGTTATGACAAAATCCTAAAATATAAAACATCTTCATTGAAATTCTAATTTTCTAGGTAACTTACAATCATTGGCAGCTGGTTATTGCCTTTGTACGTCTCATCAAATTTTATATACACTACTGAAATTGCAAGAGAATACAACATTGACAGAACACCAGTAGCTACAAAATATTTGGCATCTGAAGAATAGTCTCCCATAATTGAAGTTGTACACATGGACACATTTACCGTAGAATAGCGTAGTTGGAATGGGTATTGAAAGTCCTTTTTCACAGAAGTTTCATCTGCGCATTTGAATAAGACGTAACCGCTGTATCCTGTTATTGTCGCAAAAGCACAAATTGAGAAAACCTGCAAAAAACAATCTCTTGTATTATATGACCTATTTGATTATACAATTATACAAAAACGTCAACGTTAGAACTGGCGGGCGCGTTACTCATGGGGCGTTTAAAAATTTCAAATTTAACCGAAACGTTACTACGACACACGTCCAAAAAGACGTGTAAAAGGTGGGAAGTCCATGCTACAAAACATAATTTTTATACTTAACAGGGTTACGAAAATAAATTAACCTACATTTATTGATTTCTACTAACGTACTGGAATTACATACGAAGTCATCAAATATTAATAATAAAATCCAGATAATCCTAAATGTAAATTGCGCACGATGAGTGACAAAATAATGCCAGCATGTAATAATCACAGATAATGTTTTTTTAAACAAAATACTCACAAAATGTAGAACTCTCATCACCCCTCTGGGTTCTCTGAAGGCCGAAAGATTAAGATCCATTCTGAATTCTTCGATACACGTTTAAAAAAATACAAAATTGCACTTTTATACCACCCACAAATAATTTTTTAAGAAATAAATTAACCAATGCCGCTCCCTGTCAATATTTATGCAACTGGCTGTCACAGCGCACACCACAGCATATCATTCAGTAAGGACAGCTTTTGAAAGGTCCATAAGAAATACACGTAACGGACTAGAACAACAATAATCGACCGTTGAATAAGGACATGACCTTGAATTTTGGCTAGAAACTGTAGTGGCAAACCTTGTTACTAAATAAAATTTACCACCATGTCAACATTGTGCGTCAAATTTGACATTTTAGATGTTTGGTATTTAATATTGTAACGGTGATTTATTATTTTTACTGAATAGAAAATGCGCGTTCGAACACATAAATAAAATAAATAATATTGTGGAAACTGTACACAGGGCACAGGGGTGCGGTATGCTGGTATGGACACAGTTACGAGGGCAGCTTTTATATATCGGCCACATGAAGGTAAAATTGAGTTGGTAGAAAATAGTGAAACAAATCGTTTTTCTAGGGCTGTAACATAAAAGGTGAATGTTTCATGTAGCATCTTAAGCGCGCCACTCACGTTTCAACGCCGCAGAACAATTGTGTTTGATATGACCAAATTGAAGTGTTTTTGAACGTCTGTGTATGCAAATCGGTTGGATGTGGACGGTCGATGAACAAGTCTGTCTGCAGCAGTACAATCGTGTTGTATTGGATGGAAATTTGATGATGTGTGGACATGACTCGACAGTGTATGTTATTCAAATCGTGAGAGCAGCTATAAAAGTACATTTTCGTCATTTTGTCGGACATGTTGTCATCACGATCGCAAATTTTTAACTGCAAGGTCGTAACGTGTGTGTGTACTGCTGCTTTTTAACAGAATTGTACAACAGTTGCATCCAATGGGACGTTGGAGTGTGAATGGCCAGCTTTAGGATTGCCAAAATGGTGGATCATCATCAAAGACGTTGAAGTGACAGAGAAGTTTATCATATATGATGACATTACGTGCAACGGCAAAATAACTACATGTTTCACAGGTATATTTCATCAAGCATTTCTTCAGTAAGTATCCACAGACATAACTTAAAGAATTTTGTTCCTCCATGTCCAGATGTCTGTAGTCTGTCATATTTACTTCCACAGATTTATGTGCAAAAGTTGTTCAACTTAAAACTCTATTAATAATTTGACACTGGTTACTTTCTTTAGATTCAGTTGCTAGTAAAATAGATCCTAAATCATTACAACTATTGGAATTTTCACTGTGCTGTAAAAATTGCATACCAAATAATTTTTGTATTGATTATAGAATAATATACTTCTTTATATTTCTTATCTTACAGATTCCGAGGGAAATTTAAAGAAGCCTCTGAAGCAGGTTTTTTTATTGTGCCTGGAATCACGAGGTGGTCTACCACTATAGTCCATGTTACTATGAAAAAGTTCTCAGAATTACTTCACTAATTTAACTAACAACAAAAATTCAACCAAAAACATCAAAGTACTTTTCCCAGGGAAGATGAAAACAACAGCGTTCACTTTCTGACTCTTCAAACGGTTCACACTTGGCGAAAATTGAAGGCATTGGCAAAATAGGTAGTTGATATGTTTATGTTGAAATTAACTTGGTAAAGTGATAGACTTTTATTAATGAATAAAATAAATATAAGCACAATTCTTTTTTATTGTTCAAAGTGGTATTTTTTTCGTAGTCTTCATGCCACACTCCAAAAATTGGTTTCAGTTCATTCGATGTTTATATCAGTTCCTTTTACATTGTTTTACGGACGAGCTGTATTTGTAATTTAGGCAACCAATATTCCACTTCGTTTCAAAAATCCCGCCTAATCAAAACGGTTGGATAAGGACACGTTGTTCCAATATTTGACGAGCTGTCTTTACTGAATGATATGCTGTGCGCACACCGTGACCGTACCGTTGGTCGCTGGCTTGATGCCTGTTGGTTATCTTCCACCAACCCGACCGCATAAAAATCTCTAGACACATTACCTCGTAGTTAATTTTTACACAATTTACAGCAAAAAGACCAAAATTGAAACCCGAGAAATGGCTTTAAAAGTAAAAATAATTCTTTAGTAATATTCGTACATGTGAGGTGTCGGATTTTTCAAATTATTTTCTCATTGCTGAACTTTAAATTTTCCGCCACATTGTCGTTAGACAGGGGCGTAGTCACCTCAATTTTTTAACTGCTCGTCCCACAGAATTTCGTACGTAAATGGCAACGTCCTTCGTTGTACTCATTTTATAGTATTGTAGTATCAAGTTTATTTCGACTTCTGATGCGTTAAAGAACGTTGAGAGTTTGTATTCGTTTCAGAAATTTAAACTGTTTCGTGGTGTTGTTTGTTACGCCATTGGTGCAAATCGTTCCGGAATATTCTAGAGGATTCGCGAATTTAGAAATTATAACCTTTAAATATAAGCAGGTCCAAGTGCAAATCGCAGTTCATTCAGCTGTCGGTGGTTGTGCGCGCAAGTTCCTTCCGTTAACACAATAAATACGTGTGTTTGTTTTGACCCATTTAACCCAGTTTTACCGCAAATAATAAATTACAAAAATGGGAAAAGATTATTACAAAATCCTCGGACTGAGCAAAGGCGCGAGTGACGACGACATTAAAAAAGCCTACAGAAAACTGGCCCTTAAATATCACCCTGACAAGAATAAGACCCCCGGAGCTGAAGAAAAATTTAAGGAAGTTGCTGAAGCCTACGAAGTCCTGTCCGACAAAAAGAAGCGCGACATCTACGATAGCTATGGCGAAGAAGGTCTTAAGGGCAGCGTCCCAGGAAACTCCGGTTTTGGCAACTCCGGCTTCAGTTACACCTACCACGGAGATCCGCGTGCGACATTCGCTCAGTTCTTCGGCAACGCAAGCCCCTTTCAGGCGTTCTTCAGCAGCACCAACAGTATGTTCGGCTTCCCGGACGACGATATGGACGTGGATGATCCCTTTGCGTCTCTAGGAGTGGGTCCGACTCGTTCCGGACCGGGAGGAGCCTTCCGCAGCCACTCTTTCAATTTTCACGGTACTCCCAATAGGAGCAAAGATAAAGTGCAAGATCCGCCCATTGAACACGATCTTTACGTTTCATTGGAGGATATTACGAAAGGTTGTACTAAGAAAATGAAAATCAGTAGGAAGGTGCTGCAGCCGGACGGTACTGCCAAAAAAGAGGACAAAGTACTGACGATTAATGTGAAACCGGGGTGGAAAGCAGGAACAAAGATTACATTCCAGAGGGAGGGTGATCAAGGCAGGAATAAGATCCCGGCGGATATTGTTTTTATTATAAGGGATAAACCGCATCCGTTGTTTAAAAGGGAAGGAAGCGATATTAGATACATGGCGAAAATCTCACTTAAGCAGGTGAATATAACTTAATTTGTACTTGGGAGTTTTGGAGAATGACGAGTACTTTTGTGTTTGCAGGCCTTGTGTGGATGTACTATTGAGGTTCCTACTATGTCTTCCACCAAAATACCTCTTCATTACACTTCGGAAGTTATTAAACCAAATACTGTTAGACGTATTCAAGGATATGGTCTTCCATTACCCAAAGAACCGTCGCGTAGGGGTGATTTAATAGTCAATTTTGATATTAAGTTCCCCGACACACTTTCGCAACCGGTGAAAGATATATTATATGATACTCTTCCCAATTAACATACTCTCTGAGAAAAAGGAGTACATGGGTATTGTACGTTTTAGTACAAGTGTGAATGACATGTTTTTGTAATTGAATGTAAATAATGCTTATTAAAATACATCGTAACGAATAAAACGCAACAGATTTCTTGTAAGAAGGCGAGTTGGATATAGTTATTGAGGTCTGACTTGCCAAGCTCAAGATTGTATATACAGAGATGTATTATTGATATTGTAAATAAGTTATTAAAGTTGTTGATACACAGTTGTAAAGAATCGCCTTGCAGAGCAGAATTATTTATTTTTTTAAATTTTAATTTGTTGTTATTGTTCTTAGTAACGACCCCGCTAAAGTTAATGAAGACTAATTATTTTGTAACTTAAAGGATAATAAAGAGATTTATTAAAAAAGTTTCATTTCCATTTTCGTGTCAAGGATTACGTTTAGCAGCACCATATTTAGTGAAAAGTATACAAGGCCATTCCGATCCTCTCAAAAGACGAATTTAGGAATAACGGTTAAAATAGTAAAAACGGATTCTAAAGATAGACCCACTGTTCATGCAAATGGAAAGTATTCCTATTCATAAGGAATAAATTTAGAAGCTTGCACACGAAAGCACTGTATTATTAAAAATGGGTCAAAGACTTTAGAACTAGGGATTTATAGGTTCTCTGAAATTCTGCGAATTTTATACCGATAAGAAATTAATTTGGAAATGAACCTAACATTGTTGAAATTTTTTGCATGCTCGATCTATGTTTGATTGAATGAAATTGCGATCGCTCAATTATTGTAAAATGTGAAAGAAATTGCATTTTGAACCGTAGGATGCTGCCAAATAACCAAAATGCGTTGGCGTACACCTGCGTATGACGTCAGAAATTTTCTTGGCGCTCTATTTTAGGCGAGATTCCGAGGCCTGGTGAACAACTAGTAGACGAGGACGTTCGAAGTTGACACTCGTTCGTGTATCGGCCGCGATTTATTCCTCACAAACCCACTTATTACTTTCTCTTTTACGTAGTTGTTTACTTATACTCGCCATTTTGAGCAGGAGTGGGATACGAGCACATAATTATTTATTACATGTGATGGCAAACCGTGACGTCATCGACCACCAACATTTGTCTTCTTAAATAGACTTTAAATAGGAATAAAATAAATTTAAGACAACGCAAACATGGATTAGTGCATTTATTTTAATGCTTGTGCTTTCTTTATTAATCACACGTCTGTGGCTACGACAGAAACTGCGTCGTCTGATAAGCTGACATGTGGAAGAAAGTCCTTCCAGGGACCTACGGAAGGTTCCTGCAAGCTGCTACACGGAATGAGTTGATTGTCTTCGGTTATTTGCTTCATAATCAAAGGTTGTACTTTAATATCAACATCATCTGCATTGTCGCAAATAATCTTCGCTAAACTGGTCTTCCGAATTTCTTCTAATTGTTTAAGAGTAAATACGTTGGGATTTTCGTACCAAAACCTATCACCATATTTAACTCTGACAAACTGATCGAGAATTAAGCAAGTGATCGTAGGACCCAAAATGCTACCATTTATGGGTTTTTCACTCAAAGCTCCGGTGTAAAGGTCGATATCCTCCACATTTCTGTAAAATATTCGTTTCGGTTATTGTCAATTTGGCAAAACTCTATTTTTAACTGAATGTGGGCTTAAATATATGAGTCCTGTCAGTTTATTTTACTAGTTTGGGTTAGTTTAGTTTTATGTGTCAAATTGTTAAAATTCAGAAAAAGATGTTGATAGCAAGTTTTTTCAACACAAAAATATTTTCAAGATTTAAAAGCCTAATGAAAATACGACTTGGTCGTATTGTATCATTATCACACAATATGGAACTGAGAAAAATAACAAACACTTTGGATAAATTCATCATTTTCGAAATCACATGACACATGATAAAACGAAGGAATGTTCACGACGCGTGTGTGTGTAGTCACTATAATTCTTAAGAAATAATTATCGAACGACAAAGTATCGCGAAACGTTGTACTGAAATTATAGTTATGAAGTTATGTCTTCAGAACTTGCTTGAACTTTACAATACAACATACGTCACTCTACATATTCCACATAAAATTTCTTTTTCTTCTTCTTCTTATTATTATTATAGTAATATACGCGAAGAATTTTTTGGAGGGGGCGAAAACACAAATTTCGATTAACGTTTTTATAATTATTAAAGAACACTCAAAAGATCGGTGTGATGGGTTTCATTTAACAGATTGCCAACAAATAAGCGGCACAGTTCGACCGAAACGAAAAATCACCCTATTTACGATACGTGATATTTCCAGAAAAAAAAAACTTAAAGAGTTTTATTAAGGAGAGCTCCCCACCTACACTGAAAACCGGTACCTACGACGTTCCAAAATTGCAGATAATGAGTCGTTGAAAATTTTAATTGATAATTCCCATTACCTATAGACGCTTTTTATGTTTCGAAGTGAATCATCATCGATATCCCCCACAAGTTGTTCGAAGTTAGAGGCTTTGGTTAATCCACAATGCTCGCGCCAGCTGTTATAGCCAACTAATCCATGGTCACGACCTCGTTGTATATTCAAAGAGACCAAATCTAAACCACACATTTTAATTTTTTTGTCAGAATTGTCCTCAAAAAGATGCTGCTTTAACTAAAAATAACTAAATTAGGAAAATTGAGATATTTTTATTCGCGTACTTCATTGGAGAAGTAGGGATCGTTGGCTTGTATTGTTGTGTCCATCGCACTTCTTAGAGTTCTATCTAATTCTCCTGGTTGATATAATTTAAAAGGGTCAAATAACATTTTATGCAATTGAATAAACTCAGGACTGGACGTATCCTTTGCCAAAAATTTCATTAAACCCGGAATGATAGAGTGGGCGAATCGGAATGCCGCAGTAGCAAAATTGTTGGCTATAGAGGAATCAACGCTGTCATTATACTTCACAAAGTAACCGGAAGTTCGTGGTGATAGATCAAATTTTGTCATTAGATCCACCCCTAAAATTTTGTTTTAATCAAGAAACGCGGCAATTTTAGTACACACCTAGTAGAATGGGCAAAAACTCGTTGTAAGTGATGTGTTGCATCTGTGCACCTATTATCTTTCGTGTCTCCTGGAATAGCCTCTCATCGTCCCATTTAGTGTTCAGCGCTGCTAATTTTTTAGCAAGCAAATTATGTTGCCGAGCCCAAATTAAATGCATACTTGTTAAATGCAAATTTTCGTTGGCGCGAACGTCACCTTAATTTCACTCAGATTAACAATACTTACATTAAATACTAATATCTTACCTGTCAAGAAACAATACTTTCCTTTTTTATATTCTTCTTTTCTGTTACAACCATCTCTTAAATTTGTCGACGCAGGCAATAAAGTGCGATTATCCCAAGTCACATACATGTCAAGTTCTCCTCCTTTCATTGTCCTGAGTTCTCTGACAGTTTCTTCTTCTACACTGTAAATAACTGAACCATCTATAAAAGAAGTTACTTGATTCATTTGTTCACGATAGCCAAGACAACAACTAGGTGCTGGTGCTGATCTAACAAACTCTAGGCAGGTTATATTGTATTGAGCGTAAGGGTCGTAGGGATCTAATTTCACAGGAAAACACTCAGGATGGACTGTTTGATTATCTAGACAACAAGAAATGGATGTTCCGTTGGGTCCATGACTTAAAGCCGTTGCTGTCATGTCGTGGTCTAAAAACTGTCCCCAAACTGCTAGAACTACAGAAAATGCTTCATCGTTTTTATAATAAGGACGATGTACTTCTAAACTAACAGTTCGAGAGGATGGTAACGAAAAACCATCCTTGGTAACCCTTGGTTTACTGATACCTGATAAATCATTTCACTTGAACTAAGGGAAAACCGTCATGTCTCACTTACCATCGGCATAATCGGGTGGTAACGTTCTGCGAAATGGTTGAAAACTAACGCCAGAAGTTTTTAGCTTTAAATTATTACAACTTCCATTGTAAGTACGATATTTGTAAAAAAAATTACACGAAATATTGACTAAACTGCATTCACTTTTGTTGCAAATTTTAGACGCGTTAACTGGAAAGTATCTTCTAGCAACTTCTCGTATGTATCCTTGATCTGCCAAAAATTGTGTTTTCTCAGAATTAAAGAAAACTTTTTGATGCTTGTAACTGGGACTATCCAAAGGCAATTCTTTGACAGTTTTAGCAATTTTATTTTTCTTGTTTAAAGCTTTTTTTCCTTCTTGCATCGCTTCATTCCACACGGTCTCGTTATCGCAAAATATTTTCTCTGGAGTTTTATCATTCAAAGGCCAAGAATTCGTTAATAAAACCTGAAGTGCGTCTGTTACGTTTGTCGAGTTTATTAATTCTTTGTTCGAGCGGCTTATGATGTATGCCACGGCCACCAAAAATCCAATTATTAAAATAGAACTGAAGAATTTTTAATTTAGATTTTAATTAGAAGCGGAGTTTGAAATAAAAAGTAACTTACATAAATATAACACACAAACAACACTGAAATTGTTTGACTCGTCTTTGACGCTCTCGTGCTATGCTGGTGTCAAATAGATATTGCGGTTTTCTTTTATCCGACAATAACCTGGTCCTTTCAGTTGCGTGTGACATTTCTTTTCTAAAATCAAAACATTTATTATATAGACACTAGGTACTGGATGAACGTAACTTAACAGGGTTGAATGAACATGGTTACATGGGTACTCACTTTGTATTGGACGAGAGACGACAATATACTGCTTATTTAATAGAAAAGGTTGTTATATGATTCCGAAGCCAGTCAAACGTATACGAAACCTTATAGTCTTTACCTGTTTAGACAAGGTATCATGTTGGAGTTCTTATCTTTCGGTTGATAATACAAATCTTTTAGTAAACTTTTATAGCTTACTTTTTACCTTCATTAAAACTTACTTACTTTAAAATTTAATAAACACATTTTTGATAGGAACAAATATAAGTAATTTTGAAACCTACCTTCAATAATAACTTTCAATGTTTCCACAATAATCTTAAAAATAAATAAGAACGTGCACATGCAATACCGCATCTCGGGGAGTATTTTTAAATAAGGTTTATATAATATTCCTCGAGGCGTGGTTGTTAACTTTATGGAATTAACGAAATATAATAAAGGTAAGTCTTCTGTGATAATGCTGATGACTGTGCTCTAACGAGTGATTGAGGTGTACATAGCCGTTACGAATCATTTTCGCTTAAATTCGAGCTCTCGTTTTGCGAGTTTTTTTCGGTAAACTTTTTCTTTTAAATAACAAATATCTAAAACGGTTAATCTGTGTAAATTTATTACACCATTTTTGGTTTGTAAACATTCAGTAAGTAAGTTGCATAAATATTCACAAAGGAATATTATTGTATGTGAACTATTTATTTTGACACAATAAACCTGAAGTTTTTCTTATTTGGTACCGATAAGTATATTCTTAAAAAAATATGTGTGAGGATCGTAATCGTTTACGATAAAGCCAATACAGACATTTTTAAAAATAAAGGAACAGAGCATAGTTTGCATCATATATACCTAAATGTTTTCAACCGTAAGGGTGATATTTCTGTTAAACAGAATACGACCACCTGATTTATGTTACGTGGGGGCATGTTGACTGATAACAACTAAATCACTTCAAATACAAAGTGAAGTTAAATTATTATCTTTAAATATGAAAAAAAAATATATTTTTTTTGTCACTGACGATCGAAGGCGGCGATTTGTGGATATCCCTTTCTGGTTAGTTTTTGGTATATTGGATCTATTGTATGTTTAGTAATATGACTCTTGCAGCGCTTTGAGTAAAATGGATGTCCTTAACCCACTTTCAAGATATTTTTCATTCATCTGTAGACGTGTCCTCACTTGTGCGAGTATTAATTTTATTTCGCAGAAAAATATAACTGCTTAAAATAAATCAAGAAAGTAAAATTAAAAAAATCTTTTGAACTATTTAATCTGAATAGAAATCATCATAAGATATGAGTTCAATTTTATACATATATACAAAAATATTACTACTGTGTCTATGCAACTCAATATACAGATGAGACTTGTATGTGGTATAACTGTGTTGAAGCCAAGATGATTTTAAACTGAGGCAAGGCTAGACTTTATTACTAGATTATCATTATCGCTTAATACCTCAGACAACTTTTCCCCTAAAGCTAACAATTAGTTAATACCAAAAATGTTTACTATTGAGAAAAAATTCTTCAAGTATCGGTACGTCTAGGGTTTTATTAAATTGTCCACACACTTAGAAGATCCATCCTCCATTATTTACATTATTCAATTGAATTATCAGTCTGTCACTCCATTACTAATCATCACTTCATAAATAACAATCAAGATTTGTTTTCGAGGTACTCATTATTTACGTACCTTTCTTTGTTTTTCATTAGAATAAGAGCTATGAGCACCTGTTTTTGCCACCGAAAGTACACGATAATATACGAACGAGATTCGAGTTCTTTCCACTACGGCAAACTCAGAGTTATCGATTGTTACAGACAAATATTATTTGTAGCCGTAAATCAAACATATGTAATTAAAAACAATAACTACAACAGGGTACAGAACTCGACAATGACAAACTAGAATTTTTATTTAAATATTCCATCAGCCACTGCCAGTATATTTTAACGATTCTGGTTATTTATTATTCGTTATTATATGTTGTTATCATCAACATCATCATCATTATCGTATCCAAATATTAGTTTATCTTATCTTAATCAATAGATAGAAAATATACGACATGTTTATTCTTTATTTTAGTTCTTTGTTAGTGTGAGGTCCCCAGTCTTATTCTATAATTTTGCCTGTGCGTAGTAACCTTTTTTTTTTAATTACGCAGTTAAGTTTTTTATTATAGTTGTATCAGTTTGAAAAGAAGGAAGTACGTACATTGTAGCATTATTTTATTTTGTATATTAAATTATTGTTAATAATCTTATATGTACTAGTCCTGAGTATACGTCTGTCCATTGTTAAAACTTGAGTAAAACAAAAACACTATCAAAATTGTATTAAATTTGGTCCCAAGGAAACAAATTTTTGTAGTACTGTAGATGGAGGCGCTATCAACAATAAATATCGCTCTCTAGTACGCGCTGGACGAGCACACTGTATTTTTTATCGCCTGTACTACAGGCTGATTTTTGTAATACATACATATAAAAACTTTATCCAGAGAATGGTAACAAATTAGTCTTGTCGGAAGACTTAAATACATAGTACCTGTGGAGTTGAAATATAAATAATATTCTTTAAATTATTTTCCACATTTAATAGTTTTCATTGGTCATGGCAAGACGGTGGTTTACAAAATAAAAACGTATGACAGAAATGATATTAATAAATATTTTGTGTTTTAGGAAAGGACTGATTTTAGCGTGAACGTGATTTGTTCTCGTTATTCAAACGTCTGTGTAGGACAGAGACGGAGGTAAAACCGCTCGTATTTACCTTGGTGGAGATGGAAAGGTAACAGCGCGAAAAGCACGATATTATTCTTCTCTTCTATTCTAATCCATATCATGCTGGTGTACAGCAGTATGTTCGTTGTTGTAGGTTCGGAAGTTACTTTCACTTTCTTATTTACATCTGATTATAGATTTTAACAAGTGATCGAGTTCGAGTATTAAGCAAATTGTCTGTACTCGTTGTGAGTTATAAAAAAGTGTTATGTTTATGTGAAGGTTCTATTAAATTGTTATGATATTTATTTTTCGTGACAGTATGCAAATAAGTGTTATGTTTAAATAGAGGTAGGTGTTAAAGCAAGTGTTACTGGACATATGTCTATTATTCGATGATTTTTAGTAAAACTGTGCAACATGGATGAAGATGACATCACAGTACGAGTGGCTGTCAGGTAAAAATAATTACCATCTACTTTTTGTATGTTTGTTTTTTGCCTCTTCGCTACTCCATGTGTTTTATGTTCACTATTTTTAGAGGGACAAATTTAGCTTTATGTCTGTGAAATTAGTGCCTTTATTTCCTGCTTTTTAACTTCGACTAAACTTTTTTCTTTGATAACACAGTTAGGTATTTAAATTATTTTCCCTCCATAACGTTGCGTGCCTCCAACTCTTAACAATAAATGCTTCATTTACATTATGTCTGCATAGAACATAAGTTACTACTTATTACACAGTGATGCCGAGGGTATAAAACGTGCTTAATACTAGACATTAGATTAGTTTAAATTACACAAAAATTTCTTCGTTAACCTGCTTCGACACGTTATGTAATTTTTCGGCAAAAACAATACAAATACACCGAAAGGTCGTCCTGTTTTAACCCTTTTCAAAAATGTCAACATAAATGTAACCTTGACCAACCTTTTGTAAATGTATTTTAAGAAATTTTGATCATGTGATAACAATAAACCATGAATAGACGATGAACTAACACACAAAACAGATTTATTTATATTGCGAAAATCAATCGCCCGAATCTGTTAATTATTAAATAGCCACAACACGGAAATAAAAAAAAAACTTCCGAATCAATAGTTATGTTATGATTTATTTAAGCTTTCATGAAAGGGCAACGGCCCATGGTTACGTACCGGAACGATTTACGAAATGTCAGAAATTAGCATAGATCTAGTGAGAGCTAAATTTATATTAATTGTCGTGACAGAGTAACTTATTTATCCAAGTCGAGTGTTGTAAATCTAGAAGAGGCGGCTGTTTGATCTTCATATTGTTAAATATTAGTCGTAAATATTGGCAAATGCTTGTTTATTTATATTTCAGTAATGGCCTTAAACACCCAACGGAAACCGGATCCGCTCTATTCACCCTTCCGTTGCAATAAATTAGACTGCATTTTACTTTGATCAAAACAAACACTTTAGATTATGTACAAACTTTAAAAAGAGGATGTTTTACCGATTCGACAGTTAAAAAATAACTCGTTTTTTATAGTCTATGAGTTATTACGAAATTGTTTTGCTTACACTTACAAATGACACACATTTTTGTAGAATTTACGATTTGACACTGTAACGTAAAAGTTGTTTAACAAAACGTACGTTTTAAGTATGAGTTTTATTTAATTTACAATTATTCGAAAATACTTCGGTAAATACTCATATTAAAAAAACGGATTAATCTGATGGTACCAAGCAGTAAATTAGTCATAAAAACTAATTACAGGTGCCTGTAAAATATCAAACGAATTCGACAATAATCGATGAAACTAATAAAAATACTCGAACAGGTGAATGTACATATTTGAAATTTTCTACTTGATCCCGTCCAAGGTATAAGAAAATGATCCCGTCCAAGGTATAAGAAAAGAACTAAGGAACTAGGTATAAATAAAATCTGAGAATACTATAGAAGATTTAAATAATTTTTACATGTCTTATATTTCCCTATATACATTTTTTTTATTACGGTATGAATTGTGATATTATTATATTAATTAACCTTTTAACATTTTTTCCAAAGGACTTGTTTGACTTGGCTGTCAAATTATTTGAAAACTATACTCGCTTCCCCCAGCATTTTTTGAGATTTTAAAGTTTCAGAGTTAAATTGTAAAATATGATACAATTTTGTTGTTTTTGTCTTTCAAAAATCTGGATGGCCTGCAGTAAAAAATCAAGACGGATTCATAAACCACAAGTGTAGGAGTTATTTTATTTCGGTGTACTCTACGGAACATGAACCGTAAAAATATGAAAGCAGCAATTCTCCGAATGGACCATATTACAAAACTTCCTTAGCTCGGGAAGTAAAAATATCTGCATAATATATTCCAAATAATATGAACACTATGTTTAAGAAGCTATTCGGAACTAAGCATTACTATGACAGTGAAAAATGAAAATCAGTGATTAGTTTACGTGACGAGCAGCTAAAATTATCACGGTTTGTCGTATCAGTGACCAACATATGGTGCTAGAATGTGTTCAATTCTTTCTACCTTGAACATAATTAGTAGTTACACATACGAGTGTTATACATATACCTACTGGAACTTTTTATTTTTTTTTTTTAATTTATTGTGTTACTTATTAAAGGCAGGCTCGTCGCAAAAGACATCTGTCAATAATCACACAACACACAATCTTTCGTTGACTGATCAATAAGAAACGGATTTTATGTGTGTTCAAGTACCGGCAATTAGTTTAGTTTACAGAATTGCAAATACGTGTAATAAAATCAAGTACGAGCGAAATCATGTTCGATCAATGTCATTGGAGGTGACTATCAGGCAAATTTTCTGATGACATCTCTGTCGGACAGAAAAATCACGAGTCTAATTCCACCTGAACACCTGTGGGCGGAACTTGTTTATAGCCTTATTTTTCAGAAAAAGTGTGGGTATCGGCAACTTGTAATTCCAGCGTCATCATAGATAAAAATGGAATGGCTTTGACGTCCCATATACGATCGAAAAATAATTACTAAAAAACTGTGCACGTCCGATTATTCTGCGCACATGTGCAGAACTATGCATCGGAGCGCGGTAAGACAACCCTTTGACGGTATTTCATCGTTAGGCTTCCGTGACTCGACAAATCAAGTCAATTTTGGAAGCAACTAAATCTTTATTTAAAATTTGAGAAGATGGAAAGTGGTCTGTCTATATGCTTGTATAGTATGACACAAAGTCGTTGAACCCCCCACAACTGGTTAGACCAACCGGAATTTTTGTATACAATCTTGGCTTCCACCATAGTCAGGTAAAACAAAAAGCAAGCATGCATCCTGTCATTTTCTATACTAAAGGATTGTTTATGCTAGCTCAATAGCAGCCGAACATAAATTTATCAAGCAAATATTGAAACGAGTAGCGAAATATTGAATTTTTATTACGTAATGTTGTTTTAAGTAATATTTTCCGAAAGGTGTTTGGATGCATGTATATATTGTAATTAAGTCGGGGTGTTCGATTCAATGAAAACATTAAAACCAGCGGAGGTATTCTACACAGGAAGGTTTTAATATAAACGAGAAAATTTCTCTTCATTCACGACGTAAAATGTTGTAATGGTTGGCATGTTCATCAAGGACAAGTCGCTCAGGTGTAACTTTGATCATAACACTGATTTGACTTAAATTACGTGTGCGGTTTAGTAACTTCTTCGACGAAACGTCTCTTACATATTCATAAATATAAATCGCGACGCATTGTACGATGAACCGACGCGTATGCATTTAATTAAGAGGGTCCCAGAAACAATACAACCTGCGAAAACGAAACAAACTTGGATTTTGAGATTATCTTCACAAAAATAATTCAGTAAGAACACGATTTACATTAATTTGGATTTTAGAATCTTGGAAGAAATTAAGTTTAAATTCGCAGGGGAAAGGAAAGCCTATATATATTATATTTATGTGGTTAGTGATTACCGGTATTTGAACCCGCATCTCGCATTTATTCACAGGCTTCGTGACGATAAAAGTTATGCTTATTAGTAGTTGTACCAGCAGCTAATTAGCAAGAAAATCACATACATTAACCTTAATTATAAATTGTCATTTGGTTTTTACAAACACTTTGGTGTTTATGTATCTCTTTTCGCACTTCAAAAAAAGTCGAAATAAATTGGGTGACATGATTATTGTGGATACTTATTGTGCCTTTGTTTTCAAGGTATTATTTAAAAGAATAAACGACATGAAGGTTTTCTGCACTGTTGACCTTGAGCTATTCAATCGATATTTTTGTCTCATTTGAACGTTTTCGGATTATTGATCGTATCATTTCAAAACTGAAATCGTGTGTTATGCAGACGATACCAGTTATAATGACAATCCCGCACTAACTTTTCTTTCGATCGAAGTTCCACAATTTAAAGTAGTAAATTTTCTTTAATGAAGAGAACACAGTCACATCATGATTATGAAATATTTACATGATGTTTTGTAACCTATGATACAAGCAAGGTGAATTTTAAAAATCAACAATTGTACCTCAACCTTTACCGTTTATTTGTTTTGCTGAGGTCATCTCATTGTGAACATACGCGTGAAAATATTGATGAACTTGCTTCATTCCACGGATGAATTATCGCTAAATTTGAATATGACTGACTTTAATTATATAAGCAGTATAATGTATTTTTCCAAGATTTCAATTGTCTTTAATTATTAACTAATTATAATTATAAATAGAATACTTTTACTTCCCGAGCGTAAGCTAAGGAAGTATTGTAATGCAGCCCATCAGACGAATGATTACTTTCATGTTTTCTCGATGGGTCATGATTCCTAGAGTACGTTTCCGTCCATCTGTCTGTATGTCCGCCGTTTGTGTCAAGTTTTATTAGACCGATAATCTGCGAAACAACCAGATCCATTATTGTCACATTTTATATGTATGTTAGGGATATCGTGTAGATGGTAAGACGCTAACCAAAATGTGTCTAATCATCCCATATAGTAAATTAGTTTTAAATTGGATCAAACAACATTGTCCTACACGTGTAGTTTCTGAATTTGTGTTGAGTTTTTATCCGAAATGTTCAGATTTTTGGAAGAAAAATTGGATCTGCAAAACCGAATGCGTTGAAATTTTGCAGAGGTTTTAAAGTTCTCATAAATATGGTACATTTTTAATCAAAATATTAGCTAATCCCTCCCAAAAAATTGATGATGTCACCTCAAAATTTTACCGAATAAATCCTGTCCAAAATTTGCAATATTATGATGAGTCGATACTTGTGATTTATTGTTGCATTAATATTTTTTAGATTATTCAAAAGAATGAATGAGTCAATTTATTTTATTGAATAAATCAGGAACTGCAAAACCGAATGCTTTGAAATCTTGCAAACGTTTTAAAGTTATCACAATCTTGGTAAATCGTTAATCAAAATGTTGTAATGACCCAAACATTCAGCCAAAATTGAAATATGCGCACAAAATTTAAAAAAAAATCCGCGAAAAATTCGAAAAGTGCCCATGAGCTGTGATCGTCAACAAGATGGGACCCTGTGTTGTGTTTTGAAATGGCGGAATGTGTTCTGTTGCAAAGTGGTGAACCGCAAAGGTGGAAGAGTGACCTTGAAATTAATAACACAAAATTATAACGGCAATAATTTTATTAAGTTCTTTCTCTTTGTTTTTTTTTTGTATTTTCCAGTTACAAAATCTCTCGTTCTTTTCAAGTGCAAGATTACCAATTTCGATCATACATAAAACACAGCTTGTTATTAAATGTACACAATGCTCTAGTTTGCAATTTCTTATCTAAGGGAAATGGAAGGCGATGCCTAAATTATGGTGACGTGATTTAACTGTCATCGAACTGTTTCTTTGCACAACCACAGCTACGTACAACCAAGCCGCGATGCCCCCACAAACGCCACGCTATCTCCATGCTGTGTCTGCTGGCGCCTGAGGCAGCTGCTTCAAGTATTATTCTGCAACTATACTCTATCCACCGCGTGACACACGACACTGGCTACCCCCAGTAAAGTTTCCTTTACCAACAGCATATCTTGTGTTGGCGGCATCCGGTATGCGAATAAACAATCATTTGAATGACAGGATAAATTTGTCAATCTAGACTTGGGCCGAACTCGCCAACCGAATTCAATAAAGCAAAATCAATGAAACAAAAGTACGTCGTGAATCGAATTCCCCAATACATAAATAAAATACATAAAACACATGTTAAACAAGGTCAAAACACAAAATATCATTTGGTACGTACGTCGCTTTGAGGGGTACGTCTGAGAATCATGTTCCAAATTTGGAGTCATAAAATACACAAAATCAGCATAAGATTATTTCCAAAGCGACTCAATCTTTAAAATTTAAATCGTGAATACTGCCCATTACTATGTTAGAATTCCAAATCGGAATCTATTTAAATTAAACAATAATTTAAGAAGAACCATCCATCCCCTGAGACATTTCACAATTTAAAATATTATAAAATAATGCATCGAAACACAGACTTTTTGAAATTAAATAACAATTTTATCGCTTTTAACAAGTCCGAGCGAGTTCCGGGAAATCCAACGTACAAATCTTAACCACATGTGACTTCAACACTGGGGATTTGCATCCTCACACTACGACTGCTTGAATCAGTCTAAATCTACAATGGACGCGGAAGTTGCCCACCACTCTTCAGGAAAAAAAGGCAAATCTACATTACAAAAAAAGGGCATTCTTTCTGACGCTAAATTTAACTTGAACCGGAACACTACAATGTATTCATTTATTCCCTCCCAAAAAATCATGACGTCATCTCAAAATTTTGTGGAATAATCCTCTTTAAATTATGCAAAATATACTCCCCACACAAATTATCGCAACACTCTCAAAATGTTGTATATTTCCAATTTGAATGTCTGAAAAAGAAACATATCGGTCGAAATCACATTAAATATTGTCATTATTTGGCATTGAGTTACATACATTTATCCCTAAGTACATGGTAGCTACAAGTAGAGCGGTTCACTAGAACTGGAGGTGGTGCGATAATTTTTGTGGGGAGTGTATTATATTTATCATTTACTTTTGCAGGAGTTCTCATAAAAAATAATATCCGCAAAATCAAATTTTATAATTTTTCGAAAATGGATACTTCAGAAGCGAAGGAAGTTCTGTCGAAACAATATTGGACCAATTTTTACACAACTTTGGGAAAATGAAATTTTGCCAATACACATTCTTCAAATTTCGACCCATTTTCGGCCATTTGCGAAACTTAACGAAATGCATTTTCTTGTAGATTTCTTTCCGGCCTCAGTTCTTCGATAACTTCAATCGTTTTGTCAGAGTCGTCCATTAAAATTTCGCAATTTTTAGAAGTTTGAAAAAAATCGACTTTCGTACCGAATATTTCGAATATATTGCTCCGTGACCATTAACACGCTATATTTTTGGAATCAGTATGTCGAGATCTACATCCCTGAATTTTTCGAGAATTCTGAGACAAATTTTTTAAAAATGAAGTTTTCCGACTTTGTGAATCGGCATTCTACTGTTGTGATAATTTTTTATTTTTTTTAGGATTCGACCGCGAATTCCTCGAGAAATCATCGACATGTGTCAAGTTTGTACGTATGTTACACCAGGAGAACCCCAGGTTACGCTTGGGAACGACAAAACGTTTTCGTACAACTATGTTTTTGATACCGAAGCAAAGCAAGAACAGGTTTATGAAACTTGTGTGGCTGCTTTGGTTGATTCCTCCTTAGAAGGGTAGGTCTATACTGGTTCATTTTAACAAGTTTAAAATTGTCGTTGTTAGGTATAATGCAACAGTATTAGCTTATGGTCAGACGGGTTCCGGAAAAACATACACCATGGGCACAGGATTCGATGTAGAGTTATTGCCCGAGCAAGTAGGTATAATCCCGCGAGCTATTCATCATCTTTTCGATGGTATCCGGTACCGCATAAATCAGGCCCGAGAAAATGGTATGATAGCACCCGAATTTAAGGTTACAGCACAATTTATGGAATTATATAATGAAGAGGTCATTGATCTCTTCAGTCCTTCCAGTAGTAAAGTAAGTCGCTACGTCCGTTGCAGCACTTTTATGTTCCACTTGGTGGCAATTTTGTCATTTAATCTTTTGTTGCAGGACATAGTTTATAAAATTCACGAAGACTCGTACGGCGGAATACAAGTGAAAGGTATTAAGTACAAAACAGTCACTTCCCCGGAGGAAGCATTAGAATGTTTACGCTTGGGTGCTTTATCTAGAACGACCGCGAGTACGCAAATGAACACTCAGTCCTCTAGATCCCATGCAATTTTTACTCTCCACGTAAAACAACAACGAATAGTGCCTTCAAGTGATAACGGTGATACGAACGAATTTGAAACACTTACAGCGAAATTTCATTTCGTCGATTTAGCGGGATCCGAACGACTAAAAAGAACCGGTGCAACGGGCGAACGGGCTAAGGAAGGGATATCTATTAACTGTGGTTTATTAGCTTTAGGTAACGTTATATCGGCTTTAGGAGATAAATCAAAAAGGGCATTACATGTCCCGTACAGAGATTCAAAACTAACTAGATTATTACAAGATAGTCTAGGGGGTAACAGTCAGACTGTGATGATTGCCTGTGTGAGTCCCAGCGATCGGGATTTCATGGAAACACTGAATACGCTAAAATACGCCAATAGGGCTCGAAATATAAGAAATAAAATATTCGTTAATCAAGACAAAAGTTCGAAGACTATAGCGCAACTGAAACAACAAATTGCGCAGTTGCAGTTAGAATTGGTCGAATATAAACAAGGAAAACGAATCATTGGCCAAGACGGCACAGAAATGGTTAACGATATGTTTTACGAAAATAACATGCTGCAAGGGGAAGTTAATAATCTTAGGACACGAGTTAAAGCAATGCAAGATACTATCGACTCTCTAACGCAGAAAAATACAAACCTATTAGCAGAAAAAGCTACAGGGGCATGGATAGGCGGTGGGAGCGATAACGACGTAGCATGCATGGTTCAAGCGTATCTTAAAGAAATCGAAGAACTCACGGCTAAATTGATGGAATCAAATAACACATGCGAACAGTTACGCAAGCAGATCAACAGACTGCAGAGCTCACATCAACATGGTGCTTCCATCACATGCTTCGATGAAAACTCGCCACTAATAGAAGAAGCTAAAAGGGCATTACAAAGAGAAAAGGAACTCTTGGTAAAAAATAGACGTCCAGACGGCGAGAATGACAGCGAAATTGAGAGTGACAATGAATTTGACAGCGAAAGTGACGATAAATCCGTTCACGAGGAACTAAAAGATGAATTGATCACTCTAACTAACGATATTGACATGAAACAGAAGCTAATAGACGAATTAGAACTTTCGCAAAGACGTCTACAAACGATGCGTCAACACTACGAAGACAAACTGATGCAACTTCAGCTGCGTATAAAAAATACCCAAGAAGAGAGAGACAAAGTTTTGCATTCCTATAGCGCCAGTCCGGAACCTTCAGATAAGGTAAAAAAAGTCAAAGACGAATACACCAAGAAATTATCCGACATGCAAAAAGAATTAAAGAAGTTGCAAACAGCTCAGAAGGAACATGCTCGTCTTCTTAGAAGTCAAAGTCAACATGAGAACCAGTTGAAGTCCTACAAGAACGAACTGCTTGAAATGAAGAGAGCTAAAGTCAGACTCGTGAATAAGATGAAGGAAGAGTCGCAGAAGCATAAAGAGTCGGAATTGCGACGAATTCGGGAGATTGCACAGCTTAAAAAAGAATCTCGGAAAAATGCTAACATGATAAAAACTATGGAAGCCGAACGAAGACTAAAAGATCAAGTTTTGAAACGTAAACAGGAAGAAGTGTCCGTTTTACGAAAAAATCAAAGAGGACATTTGAGTGTTAAAGCTTCGGGACGCATCGCTTCTACGTTTTCAGAACGTGTTGCTAAACAAAAATGGCTAAGAGTTGAAAAGTCCATCAATAATATTGCATTGAGAAAAAGAGGTTTGGTGGAGCAAGAGGTGAGAATGGAGCATTTCCTCGAAAGGAGGCGAGATCTGGGGAAAGAATTGGAAGTATTAGAAGAGCGAAGGGAACAAGCCGTAAGAAAAAACCAAGATGTTACGCAATTAGATAGCTATATAGAAGACATTAAAGAAAATATAAACTACGTACAGGAAACTATTAGTGAGACACAACACAATGTGATGGAAATTGAGGAAACTCAAGACACCAACGAGAGTGCCCACTTACAAAATATTATTGATACAGTTTGTGATATAGAAGAAGCCAAATATCTTATCCAAAAATTGTACAATATGACGTTAAGTCAAAGTCATGCAGTTGCACACAGAGACGCCAAATTGAAGGAAAATGAAGCCACATTAGCTGAGCTCAAACAAGAAAACCAAGTTAAAGGTCAGTTATTAGATCATGTACTACACAACGAAATACCTATATTTTCGAAAGAACTGACGACGAGTATGTCCAGTAATGCAAATGATACCAGCTCCAACGCTTCGTCTAGATCTGTATCGCCAGCGCCTTCCGAATTTCCGTAAGATATTGGTGTTGTCTTTTTAGTTTTCACACTTCAAATGTAATTTTTAAAGGTCGACAAGTCTTTCTGAAAATCCTGCATCGGCCTCGAATGCGAAAATTCGTAGACGTACAGCTTTACCGTCTGAGTTACTTTTTGGATTGAGAGCTCCTGATATGACACAGTCGCTGGGACCTAATACACTACAAGTGGAACACTCGCTTCAGCGCGTCCCCAGTATTCCTGGGAGTCTTAAGTTAGTATATTTATTTCCAGATATTTCGTGTAATTAAAAAGTGCAATGTCCAGGGGCTACCAGTTCTCTTTTGTCATTTATTTTAAAAGTAATTTTTGTCGTGGAAGCGCAGCATCCACGATCGTTGTTTACAAACTTAAACGACATTTTTTTAAATACGAAATTTGTTATTGCCATACCTATATCCTGTTTAGACCCACACACATTCCTTAATGGTTAAATTGATAAAATCACTGTTTCACGGGATTGTTGGTGTGAGTCGCGCAATATTTTAAAAAGTTCTTTGTATTTAGATGTTTAATTGATGTGAATTTTCCATTACAGGTTGAATTTATGATAGTTCACCAATTTCGTGTTTCAAAAAGCGAAGGGAATACCCCAGTGGAAAGGGAATGGCATTTAATAAATCAGTATAACTTTGTTACGAGTCCTATTAATTTTACAACAATATTGGCGATACTTATAGTGTTCTTATTAATTCTATTAATGTTATTACTATTTTTATGATTAATTATTTATTTGAGACACCTGATAGTCAATTTTTATATGATACTAATGTTGGAAAATAAACATTTGTTTTTTAATATTGATTGTTTTATTGTGTGTACAAAAAAATTATAACAGAAAACTGAATTACAACTTTTAATTTTTATGACACGTTTTTCTTCTTCTTGCCAGTCTGTACTGGCACTGAAGGTACAGGTATGGTGTGTACTTTCTGTGAATACTTATTCATATAAAATAAAGCACACAGGGAAATTAATAAGCTGGAAAATAAGATTAGATACATTATTAGATTATGGTTTAAACTTGAAAATGAATTACCAAGACGTGGCACAGACACGATGAACTGTAGCAGAAGTGAACAAAGCCAGAAGTAAACAAAACAGTACTAAAAATCAATCATTAGCTACCATTAATCACCAAACTAACTATTACCTTCAGGGAAGACCTTAACCTGGAATGATTTCCCAAAAACAACATTCTCTAAATTTCCTACTGCTGTCAAAGACAGAACGAAAAATATGGATCCCAAATAACCCCCTAAGAGTGTGTGTAACTGTGATGAACTAAGCCAAGGTCTGTACATCTGCATCCCCGAAAAAATCAACACTGAACTTATAGAAGCCAGAATGAAAGATATTCCAGTAGTAACAGCTGAAATTGTATTAAGACCCCAATTACTATTTACATCATTTTAGTAACTTACTCATAGTAGTACAGTAACCGGTAACTTGTAAACAGTAATAAGATTTATTAATTAAGCCCTAAGGGCGCTGATATGTTGCCAACTAATCTAACCACGAACAACCGGTGACAGGAGTGCCGAGTTGTCAGACTTTAGAGTAGCCAACATTCGTAACGAAAATCGCCGGAAATCGCCATTATTACCAACTTTTGCATAGAGTACCATTATGATCAGATAAATTCGTCTTCTAGTACACTTTGAAATTTATTTTGGAAATAATGAGGTAGAAATACTGCTTTTTAACAGTTATTGCTATTTTGAATGTTCAAATTCATTATGTTTGAGACATAACCTCTAACTGTCATTCATTGTAACCAAAGATATTGGATATAAGGATAAAGTATGCGGTACAGCGTTTTGTGTATCAAAGTGTGTTTCTAATAAGAGTGTGACTGTGCCACTGTAGTGTAACCAACGTCTCCCGGGTGAGAGGATTGGCTGACAAGTTTCAGTTTCATTAAATTTCAAGAAAAATTTTAAATATTGGTTTTTAAACAAAATGTGTGGCTAATACACTTCCCACACGTTCACGTATCTGGTCTTTGCAATTTGCAAACATCCACTAAAATCTAGAACAATGACAAATGTATCAAAACTAATGGACAGCAGTAACAGTAATACTGACTCGCTCAATCGCTTACCCGTCAATTTACGAATGTGTACAAACACGATACGAATAGAAGAGAGGGTTTGTATTGTTTACGTGCGATACAAAACAATGAGCCCAATACTCAATCTATACATTTAAACCTCCTTCATTGTAACCACTGGTATGTTATTATATACTAGATGCTGAAAACTATCCGCTATGATGATCCCGGCAAGGCGGCATATGCAAGTTTCAAGGTTGCTTACAGGGATGTTATATCCAGGGATATATCAGTGAAAATTGTAAGTTTATGGTTGCTTATACATTTATTTTTTAGGCAACCAGTTATACAAATGTGTAATGCACGTTGAAAGTTTTTCACAGCATTGATATCTATGCCACAGTATAGATATCAATCAGTAGAGACGGCTCGCCGTTTTTCGTGACCCGTTTTCGTGGGTGGTCGCATTATGACCGAATGAGGGCGCCCAACTGACGTCTAAAATATTTGAAATCTGGCAGTTTTGTTACAATATTTTTGCCGGTTTTGCTTGTTTAAGACTGCTTTTCCGGTAGAATTGTACAAATAGTATAAAAATGTAGTTTTCACAATAAAAGGTAAAATCTTTGTCCGATGAATTTTCATACAGGATCCCTGTTGTGCGCCTTATTCTCTCCATCGTGTTTGGAATTCTTGGAAAAGATAGTAAACATAACACACTTTTTGTTTAAAAAGTCGTCGCAAACGGACAACAACGGTGGTTATGAAATAAATAATAAAAATTTATTATATATGATTCCGTTGTTGTGGTAAAATTAAATATAAAAATAATAAGAAACAAACTACACGTAACAAAAAATTATATAAGCAGACCTTCTCTCAATAAACAATTTTTTTATTCATCATGTATATATATATTTTTTGACCTACACAATCATGAGTTTTATTTTGAGACGTTGCTTAACCCATAAGCAGTCGCGCGTGGGTAAAAATGACCCAAGCCCTATATTTTGTCAAATATCCATTTTCGCTTAATCCCCATGAACTTCCGGTTTCATGAATTCCTTAATTATTCTTACCTGCGTCGACCCATACCAATTACCTGCACTTTATGTGAGCGGACAAATATGCATTTTTTTTGTAATAATTTTTTTTAAATACAAATTTTACTTTATATAATATTACGCTTACGGGTTAAGTTGTTAGGTAAAATGGGTTTGACTATACATTAACAAGACGCCTTTGCCAAGACGCACTAGAAAACTGTTTTGGATGGATTAAGAAACAAAATGGAAATTATATTAACCCCACATCTAATCAGTTTCAAATGACTTTTAGAAAATTAATCATACAAGTTTATTTTGATGAAACGAACATAGGTAATCAAAACTGCCAGCCTGATATGGAAGAAATTTTAAAGTTAAATGTAGGTCGTCGTTTTGATGAAGAAGAATCAGTCACCACGATGCAGAAGACCACCTTAAAAGATTGTGATTATCACTTTCACACAGCTGAACAAAACGCAATTAGATATATCTGTGGCTACCTAATTCGGAAATGTTTATTAGTACATAGTCGTAGTGAATGTGAAAAATATGCAAATGAACATAAAAGTTTAGACAACACAAGCATATATTCACATTTCAGAGCCTACCAAACGAAGAATTGCGAGTTATTTGGTAAATTATATATGTCAAACGATAATTTCTTTTTTTTACATTTGTGAATTAGAGCAAATTTTTAGTGAAAATTTTGAAAATATAATTTTACAAACAACTACTTTGTTGAAATTTTTAAATTTATATAAGCAAGCTACATTTGTTCATCCATGCCAAAACTTTCCATACGATTATTTGCTTGCTTTGTATGCTAGGATGAGATTATTTTATGCACTAAAAATTTGTAAATGCTAGCTTAAAATTTACAAATGCCAAAGGTGAAAAAATTAATAGAAAGAAAATAATTTGGCAGCATTAACTTTTTTCCTTTTTGTAATTTAATTTTTATTTTATTTATTTTTTCTCAAATAAACCTGTTTATTTTTAGATGTATTTATTACATTATGTTTACAATGATAATTAAACCTCAAGTATTCGGGGAAAGATGTGCGAATTGTCAAATTGTATAAGTAATAAAATAAAAACTGTAACAAATCATCGTGTTTATAAATTAAATATCGACTTTTCTTTTTTCTTATTGCGATTCACGATTATACGATTTGAGCAAACTACACAGTTTGCAATAAATTGCGTACACGAATCAATTTTTGAAATTGTAAATGAAGTGATACCGATACTTTTTAAATTGGGTGGTGACATCTAGGAATAGTTTAGGCAACGACCACCCATGACGGCTTAAAATTCGGGTCAGAAAGAACAAAGGCGCCGACACGAGCTGTCTCTACTGATTGATATCTATACTGTGTCTATGCTGTGAGTTTTTGGTGAATAGTTAACCGAGTACGCACTCAAGTAATACGTGTTTTCAACAGTGAGAGTATTTCTTATGGCGCGTTTTTAAATAATAATTGCCGTTCTTGTTAGCTTTTATTTAAAAATTTGTCTTCATCACATCAATTAAATGTTAACTATTGATTTAATTAGTCCTAGTATCACATAGCAGTTAACCAAAGTCATACTATTTACATACCAATAAAATATTTAGTTTTGATGTTGTCGAGCAAGATAAAAATCTGTACTTTTGATTTAATTTAATTGACTGATGATTATGATACAAACCAATTTTTTAATAATGAGGTTAGTAATAGTAACTAATTGTGGTCAGTAGTATTGCCAACTTTATTATTTGAGAAATAAATTTCAAAACCAACCCGAGGTCGAATTTAACTGATCATACGGTAGAATGTTAAAATAAAAAAAAAACACAAAACTATAAATAAAAAAAAAATGTTTTTTTAAAGACACCCAAAATAAACAAAATTATAAAAAAACACACAAATGATACAAAATTGTAAATAAAAAAAATATAAAAAAAACAAAATAAAATTATATTCGCTGATAAACTAAATAAAAAATAACATCTGGCAAACGCATAAAATAAATAAAGAACTACTTTAAGAAACTAATACAAGGGACGTCATATTCATAAAAAATTTCTAACGTCTCATTGACCACGCATTGACATTGTTTTCTTTGTTGTCAGTTCCCTGATCATGCGACAAATAAATTTCACCATTAAATTTTCTGTACATAGCTTTGGTTGGTTCAAAATTATAACGGCAAATTCCATAAATGTCTGTATTTTTATTCGGAGAATAGAAGAAAGCAGCTCTGTTTGCATCTTATTACGTAATTTTGTTTTTACACTGTTCATTACATTGAATGTCCTTTCAGCAACACCATTTGATGACGGCAAACTTAGAACATAAAGAACAAAATTCGCTATTTCTTGAAAAACTTGGCAGCATTTCTGGACTTTAAAACTTGGGGCCAAAAGAGGTACGCATTATTAGTTCATTTGCTGTCTAGTACACTGGACTAATTTACACCCCACAATTTGGTGTATTGGTTTTCTAAAATGTCCAATTCGATATGCGAATTATTTTAATTCGGTTTAAAAACGGAAGCTCACTGAATTTTTTCTGAGTAATTTGATTCAAGCAAACATTTGGTGCAAAAATGAAAATATTTTGAAACAATTTCAAACTGTCTGGTAGCCTACTTAATAATTCTTTGAGTAAAGATTTTATATACCAAAACATTTTATGTTGCACTCAATAAAGTTGATCTGCAGGTTTCTTTAATTTCATTACAGTTTGATAAAATAATACTCCAAAGTTTGCTAGCTCTGGTACTATAAAAGCCATACCGTTCCTTGGAAATATTGTTTAAAATCACTTCAGTCGGTTGATTAAAAAATTCAGGTCTCATAACTTTTCGAATCAAAAGCATTATAAACGACAATAAGTTGTCATAAGCCAGACTCTTCTGAAACAAAATATTTACTTTGTCCACTTCATACAAAACTTTTATTATAAATTATAGACTGACCAGCAGCCCACTTTTCTTTTTCCCAGGCCGTTCGATATTTTCTCAGGTATTCGCGTTTTGACATGGTTGTTGAGTTGTTATAGATTCCAAGGAAACAAATGAAAGTACTATTTGGGTAAATGCTGTTACGAAATATACACCCTTACACTGTCCTGGTACGACGCCTATGGCCGTTTCTGGTCGTACGCCGGGGATGACTCATCGAACGCGAACGCGGCGTCCGCATAAAAACAAGTCTGGAACCGGCAGACGGAAGTCTCGATTCCGGGGTTAGAAAAAACCTAGAAGCGGCGTTCGAGATCCGCCTAGAGAAATGCAGGGATTTAAATAGAGGCTACCGTCGGGAACCATTATTCAGTCGAATTCAGTGAGCGGGTGTCCAGAAAATCCAGACAAGAAGCGCCGGAATTATTTTGAGCATAATCGTTGTAATAGTTATTAGTCGTGTAAATTCCTTAGATCATATAATAAATAGATACCAATACTCAAACTGAAAGCTGTGACTAGACATCACGGCCGTATATAACAGGTCTGCGAACTCCCAGTCTTTTTTGGTCTTTTTTGGAAGAGATCCCAGGAGGCCACGGGAACTTAAAGTTCCTAGCGCCGTCTACTGGACACTATGATGAAACTATTCACAAA